TGGGCTCCAGTAACCACTTAACACAAGGTGGGCTGTGAGCTCGTCCACCCATCTAAGCAATAAAAAAATAAAATAGCTGAAATACTAGCTAGACCAGCTATTTGGAAGTCTAGCCACCCAAAGTATTTCTCGTACTTCTTGTGGAATTCTCCATCTATAGGTATACTCCGATTCTTATTCAAATCATGTACTTCACAATCTTTTCCAAATAATAGGTCCTGAACCAAAAAACTATTAATTTGTAAGCAATATCGAGATAATTTCGATATAGACATTTCGCTGTCGGACTTCCTTACTAGTCGCGGCGGCGAACGTGAGTACCCGTGGCCTGCAAACGGTGCTGCGCGAATGGTCGCCTCGTCCACCGCTTCGCTGTTCGCACCGCCGATCCCCGTGGCCAGGCCGTTAGAGCTTAGTGCCGAAGCTGATATTGTGGCTCAGTCCGTACCGCTCAACCCGAGCGAACCGGTTTCGGCAAGCGAGCTAATCCGCTCAAAACATGCCGCACTCATAACTGTCCGCGGCTTAATAATTAATTAAGTTTATTAGTTTTATAAAGGTTTTATCAATTATAAGATGTTTCAAATTCCTATTAACGATTACGGATGCAATTTTAACGATTGTTATCCTATTTAGTATATTAATACTAAAAGTTTTAAATCTAATTTCCTTTTGTATGTTGAGTCGCATGCGTGCAGAAAAGGCGGGAATCGGACGCGAAACGCCCGGTTGTGCTGTGCCTCTGCTCTCGGTCGCAACTGTTGTATAATTTTAGAGAAAGGAGGTTTGTTTTGGTCCACCACCTCCGCGGCAAGGAGTTTCGTGGCATTTCATATCGCGGCACGTCCGTTTCGCTCGCTATTATTCGGAGGCGACGTTGCCGCTCCGTACCGCGGCTCCAGCTCGATTATTTGGCTCGACCAAGGCTAGTCCTGAACAGTAGAGGCGGTTCGAGAGCAGTCAGTCTACCGCGCAGCTTGGTGCGCGACGTTTGTCCGAGGGCTCCGCTAGCCGCCCTCGTCATCACTGAGCGCTTCGTATGTGCGACAGAGACAGCGTATAGAGTGAAAGAGATGGCGCAATGGCAGTGTCGCAACCTCGCCCACCTGACCGTGTTGATGCCGCGCTCAAAAAAGTTGCGCCGTAGCGCTATTTGGAAGCGCACGAATGTATCAAGTCGGAGCGTGCCGTGATATTTTATTGTTCCTGTTTCTTGAATTACAACTGTTCTTTTAAAACTCAATTAAATCTTGCGTTAAGAAAAAGAGAAGTCCTTCTTGTGTTCGTCAATAATCATAAGGTACGTATCAATGTTGAATTCTAGATACGGCACTGCTATTTTAGGCAGATTTTATCTCGTTTAGATAAACTGCGGTCACGTCTCACAATCTAGGTTAATTTTTGCTCTAATCAACGTTAAATTGAAACACAGCGGTTCGACAGATGTAATTATTGGTATTTTAGTCGCCATTTTATGCGACGGTGACGAATGCTACTGTACCGTCCTCGTTTCTAACATGCCGAACAAAACCGGACTTTACCACCTTACTCTAAAAGATGATAATCTTTTGAAACCTAAAACCAGATCCGCCAGTGTGAGTAATAATATTTTTTTAGTACATGGAATGAAGACCGTTTTATTGTATTCGAAAAAGGCGGGACTTTCGTATCGTGACGGATTAATAGATTCAAGACTTTTAAATGTAAAAAAAAATATTTCTTTAAATTTACACTAGTGAAAGAGTTTTTACTATATGCGCTTCTTGATAGATGCACAAATAAGAGCCAGTTTTTATCAACTTACAGGATCGGTTTTCAAAACCAGTGGGAGAGTTACGATTATGAGATTCGAAATCCAAACTCCTTTCATCACTTCCTTCCGTGTGTTTTAACTTAGGACGCGTACCTACCTAAATTTCAATTTCAGTTGTATACTTAATTAACAAAGAACATGGACCGACTATTACTAAGTACCACTTCACATATTACCTTCAGCTTACTAATAAATGACTTGCATAGAAATGTTTTTTTTCATAATATACCTATAATGCGTTTACATCAAATATTTACGGCCAAAGATTTTGAACTTGTCAACCAAACTCGCTCGAGCGTGACTCTTACTGGGATGTGACGTCATCTTTGTTTGACAGCCTACTGACGTTATTGACGTTTGAAAAACTATTGTCTCTCATCTCTCATGTCGCATTCGTTTCCGATTTTACATTTAGTTTTTTGGTGTACATTACTGTGGAAGTTGATGTCTCGTCCGTCTTGATCTGAGAGTTGTGTATTTTTTGTGAAACAGATAGTGGTTATTAAGTATTAAAAAGGTTCTTCTTTGTTAAAGCAGGTAAATAAATTTCAACAAATTTTTTAACATTCAAATTACCATAGGAACTTTGAGCGTAACATATTTAATAGGTTAGTACCGAGTACATTTCTCAACCAATTTGTTTGCGAATGGCATTATTTGTCAAAAGAAAATTCACATTTCATTTGAAAAAGGATTATGTATAAATTCAGAATACCTTAATCTTGTTTGTTTCAAAATTAAAACTATATCGCCTCGTGGTTTAAACATCTTGCTTTAAGATCACTAGTGTACATACTTAAAATTTATGCAATAATTAAATTGTCCTTTATAAAATAATTGGAACGTAAGTTTATAGTAAGCATAGTGAATATTGTTTACTATATAAGACCATGCAAACTTTCGATTTGGCGGCAGAATTGTATGATTGTGACGCCATGTGTTTTTAAAATCAAAACACGTTAGCTTTTTTTTTTTTGGTATTTTTACGTATCTCATCCGCCACTATAAAAACAAGTTACAGAAGTAACCTCATGCCGCGTTTTTAGGTTAAGTTTCGTTTGCCATGCCTTTTTAGCTCTGGTTTATCAAAGCTAACTCCTATTAACTTCAAGCTCTCTGATTTTTCTGTTTTATTGTTAACTGTACACTCGCAAGCTAGTTCAAGATCAGTGAATCCTTTAAAATACTTAAATTTATTCTTGCAAACAGCTTTGTAAATCCACTAAATTCTGAAACATGAACATTGATTTTTAATTAAGAAAATCTACTTTCAGCTCTTAACGTGTTCCTTGACATGATATTTGTGATTGATTAGTGTGTTGAGGCCATTTGATATTTTGACAAAATATTGTAATTGTATACAAAACAATTTAAAAAACTTGGGTTTTGTTCAACACTAAATTTTTAGAATTTTTTTTTTTTTGTAGAAATGAAAAATACAATATTAATTTGATTTGTTATAAAATATGTTTGCAGTGATTATATAAATATGACTATGTGCACTACTGATGTTCATGACACAGCATATCTACTAATAATTAAATCTATGAAAATATATAAACATTACACAATAACTTTTTTAACCTGGTGATTCTTTTCAAGATATTATGCCAAATAATAAAATAATAATTTAATATCAGTCCTTAATAAAGCATGTCCAAATTTTCAACTGAATCAGTCATCTTAATTGAAAATAATGTTGAAAGGTTTTATTGCACAGATACATGTCAAACAAAACTGTGGTAATCCCCAATTTCCCGCTGCTAACTTCCATAGGTTTGAGCAGCTGCGTACAAGGGGTATATTATTGTTGCATTCGACAATCATGATTCAATGACACTGTGGTCTTAGGATCTGTCGATGTTACTACATTCAAAACTAGGAATTTCACGGTTCTTCTTGCAATTTGTATAATTTAACACTAGGGAATGCTTTGAGGAATCATTTGAGATGCATCTCTTCGAGATCATTTATGGGGGTACCAAGTAGCTCTGAAGTAAACGCTCTGATAAATCTTAAGATTGCAATCAAAATGTTTTATAGTAAACTAGTAATGTCAATATAATATGTCAGTCACAAAGCTTGTTTATTTACATTTCTAAGTAATTGTAAACTTCACACATGATTATCAATTTCATTCCCATATTCTTTCATACTTGTACCATTTTATTTTCATTACAAACTTCCATACTTCTTTGTAACAAAGGCATTAAGTGGCATGAACTTGAGCACAGTAAAATAAAAAAAAAAAATTCTTGTAAATTTTAATTATTTTAAAGAAATTAAGACTAAGTTAGATGCTATACTTAACTCATTGAACTTCCCACTATAACCTCTTAGCACTTCTATTCCTAAGGCAGATGTTAGCAAATTTTCTCAGGCTGAACCCGGTGAGATATCCCACCAGTCATAGCAAAACCAGAAAATCCCCCTTAAAACTACCGGCAGAAAAGTATCCAAAAAACCTTCTTTGTTCGTAAAATAAAAATTAATCGTTATTATTTTGCTCATAATTTGTAATTTTAATAACAGGTCTACCTACAATCGGTGATGAGTGGTAAAATCTCAATTGTTTTGTCGTAAACAATTTATTTGGGACAATTTTGTGCTTTTTTTTATCAGTGTTCGATGCTTATCTAGAGCAACCAAGCATCTAAATTAAAGCTTTGTAAAGCGCACTAAAGCTTAAAGCTTGGCTGTAGTGAAATGCTGAATACATGAAATATATTTCCTTCTGACAAAAGTAGTACATAACATAACTGAAATAATTCAACTCAATGCTCACATAGAAAAAAATTTCTATATTTTTTTTTATTGCTCATGTGGGTGGACGATCTCACAGCCCACTTGGTGTTAAGTGGTTACCGGAGCCCGTAGACATCTACAACGTAAATGCGCCACCCACCTTGAGATATAAGTTCTAAAGTCTCAGTACAACGGCTGCTCCACCCTTCAAACCGAAACACTTTACTGCTTCACGGCAGAAATAGGCAGGGCGGTGGTACCTACCCGTGCGGATTAACAAGAGGTCCTACCACCAGTAATAATGATATTGTCTCTAGATGCCTTTTCCTGTGAAAATGTACATTGTGATGCTCACCAGGTTAGAGCCCCGTGAGCTCGAAAATTGTGATGGTTGATGATGGAGAAAAATTGTGATGATTAAGACCGTTATGTTTCGTTTCAGGTGATCGGGTGATGGCCGAAGGCTGATCGTTCGTGAAGATGATGAAACGCACGGGCGTACCCCGGCTCGGTCCTGATGAACCGTCACCTTTGCAGGCCCAGAATGCAGCCCAGGTAAACTTAATCTGATAAATAGTATAAGTTTTTTAAAACCGTGATCGACAACAAGCAAACGGTTTTAAGGGTGCAGCCGCCTATGCCGATAACGACGTCGGAACGGAGGATTGGTCATTGAGGCTATTAACCTCGTCACCGTGATGCCCAGGTTGGGTTCTAGGTCTTTGTTAAAGAAATTACTGGTGGTAGGACCTCTTGTGAGTCCGCACGGGTAGGTACCACCACCCCGCCTATTTCTGCCGTGTAGCAGTAATGCGTTTCGGTTTGAAGCGCGGGGCAGCCGTTGTAACTATACTGAGACCTTAGAACTTCTATCTCAAGGTGGGTGGTGCATTTATGTTGTGGATGTCTATGGGCTCCAGTAACCACTTTATACCAGATGAGCTATCAGCTCGTCCGCCCATATAAGCAGTAAAAAAAAGAGATAATGGCATTTGGTATATAAGTATTTGTATGTTTTGGCACTGCATAACGTCGTCGCATAGGTTTGAGAAATAAGCTCCGGGTACTATGTACCTATTGTAGAACTTGCCTTATTCGCATCTTTTTTTCCTACCTAAACTAAATAGCCTTGAGAGGCTATGTCAGCGTAACCGGGCGAGTAGGTGAGCTCACGGGGCTCAAACCGGGAGTGTTGCTAACACTGGCCCTAGCAAGAGCAATGCTTCGCAGCAACTATCACCGGATCGGAAACGCGACCCACTGAGAAGATCCGGCGAAAAACTCAGTTGGCTGTGTCTGCGGGTTAATTTACTCGTCGAGCCCTTCGTCGCAAGCGACGGGTTCGGCGAGGACGGTGACCGGTGCTTTTGAGGTGCCTAAAAGCACCGCTTATGGGTCGGGCAGATCCGTAATGATACGTGCTTAGGGCATTATTTGCATTAAAGTTACGCATATTTCTTGGAAATGTTATGGTTGTCCAAAAATATTTTTTTAATACACCGTCGTATAATTTAAGCAATGAATAACAACACCCCTAAATTTTAGTTCTAAGATTGAAGTAATACTAAATTGACTTTCGTTATTTATTTAGCTCCACTATGAGGTGTTACAGGATTATCCATTCTTTCTGGGACGCTCTGTATAGTAATGTAGCGAAATGAGTCGTGTATTAATCGACTTTGTTTTCAAATGCAATAGATAGTTGTGGTTTTTATCAAGTTTTTTTTTTTTTTTTGTGTTTTTTTTGCCCTTGTATGCAGACGAGCATACGGCCCACCTGATGGTGAGTGGTTACCGTCGCCCATGGACTTCAGCAATGCCAGGGGCAGAGCCAAGCCGCTGCCTACCGCAAAACAGATTTACAGCCTTTTAAAATATCTTAAAAACTGGACGGTAAAAGTCGCTAATTTTTTTCTTCGCTGCAAATTATAGTCCGGTCAATTTAGACCAAAAAATTAGAGTGAAGATACATAGAGTTCCAACAAGCTGAAAATCAGTAAAATTATTCAAAACATAACAAGTAATATTTAAAAGTTCCCCATCATTCCCGTGTATGGATTTTTTTTTTAATTCAGGTCAAAGATAAAAAAATGAGCTTTTCGCGATTTTCAGCAAAACGGTAAGTTTTATCATAAAAGTACCTTAGGCAAAAATTGTAGATCATAAAATTATCTATAAAGAATGTGTCCTATGAACCATGAGATCTAATTATTAACAGTTCTTATAGTATGGCTGGCCCGCCCTTCAAACTAAAACGCAATAGGCTCGCGAAACAAAAACACGAGTATTTGATAAAACTAGAGGTCCCGCAGTAGTCGAAATTCGACTATAATTTCTATTATATAATATTATGATTGTATTTTATACTTCTATAATCACAAATTTCGCCAAGGTTACACTATAAAAAATATTAATAAAGACAAACAATATTTAATCTATTCTCAATTTGACAACAGACGCCAAGAACAAAAGTTTGACAATAAATAGTATGCATGCGTGTGTGCGTCAAATACATGGTATGTAGTGTGTGTAATGTTTTCTTTATTGATTTAACGTACCTTTTATGCATTATTTAAAAAAAAAATTAGCATAGTGCACTTCTTCTCTACATTCTCTATAAGTGTGGAAAATTTCATACTCCTCCGTCCACGCAATTTTCGTGAAAAGGGATACAAAGTTTTTGCTTCACGTATTAATATATAGATAACTTTATCATTTATTTATAGATGAATTAACGAGCTCACGGCCCACCTGGTGTTAAATGATTAACGGCCCATAGACATCCACAACGTAAATACCGCCAACTCAATTTCTTCTATTGACTAATCATGTCGTTTTCTCTATTCTTCTTACTAAGGCGCCGGAATATCTGGTTGACTCTGAGAAAGACGATTCCGAAGATACTTAGAATTAATATATTTCTAAGGGACTAAAAGACTAGACAAAGAGTCAATTCAGGTGCCCGTAGTATCAGAAATCGACATAGTTACTTCAGTGCGCCGCGTAGGACACCGGTGACCTACACGACAGTCAAAGGGTTAAGGATAAGTTTAACAGGCGTGTTAGAATACAATTAAATAAAACTAGCCGTACTCGCCCGCTTCGCTTGGCATTTAAAATTAACATTATTATTAGGGAGTCCAACACTCATATAAATATTAGCCCATCCATTAAGTACATGTATTTACTACATGGACACCAAGTTTCAAGTCAATCGGATGCACGGTTCAGTAGTTATAACGGAACATCCGTAAAAACCACTGTAGATTTATTTATTAGTATAGATGAAAACCTAACAAAATCGTTTTGCACGTGTTTTGATATTAAATAATTGATATATATTTTATATATTTATAATAATTGATATATAAATTTTTTATGAAAGATTTGATTTAAATCCTCATCATTATTTATCATCGCACCTCCCGCCATCGGAGCAGAGTTCATCCATATTATCCGGAACTGCTGCGTTCATCGACGGTGCGTTTCCAAAGATCTTTTTTGCCACGTACCATCCGGCTTTGGAATGAACTCCCCTCCACGGTGTTTTCCGAGCGCTATGACATGTCCTTCTTCAAACGAGGCTTGTGGAGAGCACTTTATGGTAGGCAGCGCCTTGGCTCTGCCCCTGGCATTGCTGACGTCCATGAGCGACGGTGACCACTCACCATCAGGTGGGCCGTATGCTTCGTCTGCCTACAAAGGCAATAAAAAAAAGAAAAAAAAAAGGTGGATTGCCTGTTTGAATTGTCGCCAGAAAGCCGGCGGTATTGTGTGATCTGTGTCGTTTTATGATTCGACGGCAGAAATATTATACCTAACCTAAACATCAGCCCGCTGAGTTTCTCGCCGGATCTTCTCAGCGGGTCGCGATTCCGATCCTGTAGTAGATTCATTCGCGAAGCAGCTACTCTTGAGTCGTAGATTTCCTTTGGAGGCGCTCGGGTAGCTGTTAGCAAATCCCACCCCTCCTTTACTGTTGGTAGGACCTCTTGTGAGTCCGCACGGGTAGTTACCACCGCCCTGCCTATTTCTGCCGTGAAGCAGTGATGCGTTTCGGTTTGAAGGGTGGGGCAGCCGTTGTAACTATACTGAGACCTTAGAACTTATGTCTCAAGGTGGGTGGCGCATTTGCGTTGTAGATGTCTATGGGCTTCAGTAACCACTTAACACCAGGTGGGCTGCGAGCTCGTCCATCCATCTAAGCGATAAAAAAAAATCCTGGCTGAGCCTTTGCTCGCCCACCTGACCTGGTAAAACTGGAAAGGCCTCCGGACCACCAGTAACTTCTCAAACATAAAAAAAACATTATCTGTAATCGCATTCTAAACACAGTGATACAGGATAATAGGAAACTGCTTCGGTCGCGGTGGTGGGTGTTTTGAACCGTGCTATTGGGATTTTACGATGCTAATACATTAGATGCGAAAAACTGGTTTAATTCTATGCGGGAGCTTGGTGCTCTGTATTTTGCATCGTGTGCTCCCTAGCGAGTCGAATCTTTGCTCGAAGGATTTTTTTTTTATTGCTAGATGGGTGGACGAGCTCCACAGCCCACCTGGTGTTAAGTGGTTACTGGAGCCCATAGACATCTACGACGTAAATGTGCCACCCATCTTGAGATATAAGTTCTAAAGTCTCAGTATAGTTACAACGGCTGCCACGCCCTTCAAACCGAAACGCATTACTGCTGCACGGCAGAAAGAGGCAGGGCGGTGGTACCTGCCCGCGCGGACGACAAGAGGTCCTACCACCAGTAAATTGTTTGAGATGAATGCGCGCGTCTTCCAATATCCGCTGAACGTAATTCATCGTTACTTCGAAGAACTGCGCTCATTCTGTGTATATTTCGCCTGAAAATGAAAATTTCATTTTGTCATGTCTCATCCAAACAGCTCTTTTTTTTTTTTCAAATTCATTTCCTTGAACGTCCTCGATTGTAGACACCGGCTTAGCTACGCCGCTTTTTTTTTTCTCGTACCTATGCTGATAGCCTTGAGAGGCTATTTCAGCTTCACCTTAACGTGTAGATGAGTTCACGGGGCTCAAACCGGAAGAGTTGCTAACACTAGCCCTAGCAAGAGCAGTGCTTCGCAGAATCTACCGCCGGATCGGAAACGCGACCCATTGAGAAGATCCGGTGAGAAACTCAGTGGGCTGTGTCTATGGGGCTATGCCACTGTCATTGTTGATGACCATGAGAAACAGGGCCATTGTATAAGAGGCGAGCTGAACATACATCTCTTGAAAGCTCTTGAAAGTAGTAAAAAGGATGTAGATAACCTTCCTTCGTATTCTTGACATCCGTTATACAACTTAGGCTTCATTGAACACTAAGTTTGAAGAGGCCAGTCTTCCCACGGATGGCATTCAATAACACGTAACCAATAAAAAAAAATCATTACGCAATTTGTTCGTGGATTTAAATGAAGTCTAAATTACTTAGGCTCTTACTTAGTCAATCTTTATAGCCATATAATTATAAAAAACACAACGGTTTTAATTGATCTTTGTTGGAGATATTGTCGAAAATAGACGTAAAGACGAAGTTTAAGAAAATAAGTTAAATTCAGTAGAAACAGTGTAATATTATGTTACTTACCGGTCGGAAACGCGTTGTATAAGATGGCGCCATTACCAAAGTGTGTAGTAAGTTTATCATCGCTACATAGTATAAAACAAAGTCGCTTTCTCTGTCCCTATATCCCTATGTATGCTTAAATCTTTAAAACTACGCAACGGATTTTGATGCGGTTTTTTTTAATAGACAGAGTGATTGAAGAGGAAGCTTTATCTATATATACGTGAAGCAAAAACTTTGTATCCCTTTTTACAAAAATTGCGCGGACGGAGGAGTATGAAATTTTCCACTCTTATAGAGAATATAGAGAAGAAGTGCACAATGCTAATATTCATACGATGTATTTGACGCACACACGCATGCATACTATTTATTATCAAACTTTTGTTCTTGACGTCTGTTGTCAAATTGAGATTAAATATTGTTTGTCTTTGTTAATATTTTTTATAGTGTAGTCTTGGCGAAATTTGTGATTATAGAAGTATAAAATACAATCATAATAGTGTACAAACTTACAATTCCAATAATAATTAATTATAGTCGAATTTCGACTACTGCGGGACCTCTAGTACGTATAATAACATCCATTAAATAGTGGAGAAATCAATAATAAATTACAGTTTCCGAAGCGAAGTGAGGGCGGGTTCGCTAGTTATAATATATTACCCTAAAGCCCTGGGGGAAGATTGCTTGCGAGTTTGTATACGCAGTTTTCCCGCGTGTCTCTCGCACTAGAGTTTAATAATAACGCGATACGACAACAAAAACTAAAGCCGGTGACTAAGCGTTTTATTTTAAGGAACAAGATGTCTGAATATATTCTGTGATACGTGAGATATTCTGTTTGCGAATACGTTTATATATATTTTTATTGCTTAGATGGGTGGACGACCTCACAACCCACCTGGTGTTAAGTGGTTACTAGAACCCAAAGACAACGTAAATGCGCCACCCACCTTGAGATATAAGTTCTAAGGTCTCAGTATAGTTACAACGGCTGCCCCGTCCTTCAAACCGAAACGCATTACTGCTTCACGGCAGAAATAGGCAGAGTGGTGTTACCTACCCGCGCGGACTCAGAAGAGATCCTACCACCTGTGGAGCTTATACTATAGTGGTATTATATATATTCTATGGTTTCCGCTAGTTTTAGGACTTGATTAAAACCACTTTGAGGCTTTATCTCGCTTGTTTGTTAACATTATATCGAGAGGTGAAAAGCTTTTTCGTTTTAGCGAATTTTTTTACAAATATATAATACATGAGAGCCATGTTAAAATTTGGAAGAAATATAAAAAAAAACTTTTTCAGCTAATTAATTGAGTGGGGTAAACTTAATTGAAGTTCAATTAAAAACATTGAATTGTTGATGTTAATCTTCTATCTTCTTCTTCTATCTTCTATATATATAAAAATGAATTGCTGTTCGTTAGTCTCGCTAAAACTCGAGAACGGCTGGACCAATTTAACTAATTTTGGTCTTGAATTATTTGTGGAAGTCCAGTGAAGGTTTAAAAGGTAGGTAAATATGAAAATGCTCGGAATTAAATAAAAATAACAATTTTGTTTTTCCTTTGATGTGTCACCCGTCGGACGGATTCCTTTTATTTGTTTTAAGTTTATTTTACACAAACGTTTAGGTCTTATTTATCGATTGAGGCACTACGAAGTCTGCCGGGTCGGCTAGTAAGTACCACATAAAACTCACATTTAATTACAAAGATAAATGTCGCTTATTGAGCGAAATGTCGCTTAAACCAAATGACTTTTCAGCGCTCGATAATGTTATATCCGACGTTTCCAATACTTAAGATTTTCATGTTCTCGTGGTCGCGAATTACGTCATTGAAATAGTAGTAATTGCGTTTTAGTAGTTTTGTTAGGTGCAAAAGAATATTAACATTTTGTTGTTTCGTTCGTATTTCTGTCGTCCGCTTACTACGCTGTGTCACGTCCTTACGGATCCATCAGATCCAATAACCTTTGCATTAGACGCCTTCAGCTCTAACACTAGGAGAAGGCTTACGGACCTCGGTAACCGTACCCGTCGAACTCGACAAAGAGGTCGAGGTGCAACCTAACCCATGCATCAGCCCGCTGAGTTTCTCGCCGGATCTTCTCAGCGGGTCGCGATTCCGATCCGGTAGTAGATTCATTCGCGTTGCAGCTGCTCTTGAGTTGTAAGGTCTCCTTCGGAGGCGCTCGGGCAGCTGTTAGCTAATCCCACCCCTCCTGGCTGAGCTTTTGCTCGTCCACCTATCCTGGTGAAACTGGAAAGGCCCCAGCCAGGGCCATAAAAAAAACTGCTGTGATAAATAGCCTTTGATTTGCGGACCAATCCGATGAACGCTGCAATAAATGTATCTTTTGTTTTATTTATATATGTAAACAGTGTAATTTCCACGGTTACCTGTGACTATCTGACGATTGAATCGTAATGCGTATTGTTGAGAGACGATTCGCGAAGCATTCAGAGTATTATTTAATTTGTGTGCGTTGAAAAAGGAAATTGACGTATTTTTCACGGGTTTTCTTATTTGCACGATTTAAAAACTAGGAGCAAATTCTCCCTACCTATTGCTGGTAGTCTAAGGGGCTATTCCAGCAATGCACAGACGGGTAGGTGAGCTCACGGGTTCAACCTAAGAGACTGCCAACACTAGCCCTAGCAATAGCAGTGCTTCGCTGAATCAATCGGAATCGTTGAAGTTGTCGTGGCCTAAAGGATAAGACGTCCGGTGCATTCGTGTTGAAGCGATGCACCGGTGTTCGAATCCCGCAGGCGGGTACCAATTTTTCTAATGAAATACGTACTCAACAAATGTTCACGATTGGCTTCCACGGTGGATAAATAACATCGTGTAATAAAAATCGAACCCGCAAAATTATAATTTGCGTAATTACTGGTGATAGGTACCTCTTGTGGAACCTTGGAACCGGCCTTAGAGACAATGCATTTTGACTATCAATTCTAGGAGGCTTCAACGAATTTCTGGTGGAAATAAAAGGATTTACAAAAAGACTTCTTATTGCACTGTCATCGGTCCTTGATCCGTGTGAAAATTTTCAAGTCAATCGGACTTCTTGAAATCTGTGAAAATGACATTCAAAGATTCTCTTTTTTTTATTGTGTTTGAACTCGGACGAGCATACGGCCCACCTGATGGTAAGCGGTCACCGTCGTTCATGAATGTCAGCAATGCCAGGGGCAGAGCCAAGCCGCTGCCTACCCATTACATACCATTACCTACTATAACAAACAAAAATCCATTGATGTCAAGCCAAGAAAATCGTGTTAAAAAGAAAGTTTTAATGTATGTTTTCCTTATTTACAGCTACAACAAGCAGGCGCCAGTAGTCTTCATTCGCTGGCACAACCACACAGCCAACCTATATTAAGTGAGTGATACCACCAAAATATTAGACATAGATAATACACGTAAATTGGTATTAGATAAGCACTCAACAAAATGTTTACGGGCGTCGGCCGCTAGATGGCTTCGTTTCGATTAGTTTCTCATTGCTCCTGTAGATGACAGTAACATTAACTATCCTATATTTTATTTTTATTGAAGGATTTTGTAAATTTTCAGAAACGACTAATTGATAAGATTTAATAAATTTGTTTATAACAAATAAATACATACTTGTATGTTTTTTTTTTCTGTATTTAGTTAAATACAATAATTAAACGCCTTAACTTTAACTTTTTTTTTTTTTTAAAAAGACTGATCTCTTATAAGCCTCGTGTTGTTTGTGTGCAGACTCGAACGCGCTGGTGTCAGTTGGAGGGTTCGGTCGGGGCTCTCGGGGGGCGGCCCCCGTGCTGGGCTACATGAAGCCGGGCGCGTTGCAGTACGCGCCCCCCAAACAACCGCCACCGCAGATGACGCCCAGGATCAAGGTACGTAATACGACCCTTGACTTCCACCCAGGCTCACAAAAAAGAGCCTTTGTTGCTGTTTTACTTACTAACTTAATAAATCTATACTAATATTATAAAGCGGAAGAGTTTGTTTGTTTGAACGCGCTAATCTCAGGAACTATTGGTCCGATTTGAAAAATTCTTTCAGTGTTAGATAGCCCATTTATTGAGGAAGGCTATAGGTTGTATAACATCACGCTAAGACCAATACAAGTGGAGCACCAATAAAGAATGTTTCAAAATAGGGGTTTGAATAGCTTCCTTAACATTCTATAATTCAAAAATATTTTCACTTTCTACGTATATGAAGTGGAGGGTAAACTTCCACGCGGACGGAGTCGCGGGCAAAAGCTAGTTACTTAATAATAACTTAAAGTCCTACTTATAATTAAGTATTCCGTTCGGTGCTCGGTGTGGTTTTGAAAACAGATTGTCTCTCGACAAAGGCCCTCCCCTAAAGATTGCCAATATTCTCTATTTATAAATAAATAGTTGCAGTAAAGATGTAAACCGCTGTATGGAGTTTGAACGTTTGCCTAAGTTTGCCGCTAGGGGCGCTCTTTCTACTGCATACAAATTAATACAAGATAATAAAAAAATGTAGATGTGGCACTCAGTTTATTGTGTGTGTGGTGCAGGCCGTGCAGCCCCCGGTGCCGCCCGCGCAGCCCCCCGCGGCGCCCCCGCAGGCCGGCGGCGGCGTGGCGGCCCCCCCCGCAGGCGCGCAGTCCCCCGGCCCGCAGACGCAGTTCCAGCGGCTCAAGGTGGAGGACGCGCTCTCCTACCTCGACCAGGTCAAGTACAAGTTCAACACGCAGCCGCAGGTCTACAACGACTTCCTCGACATCATGAAGGAGTTTAAGAGTCAAACGTGAGTATATTTGTTTATTGAAACTAAACAGATACTAAAAAAAAACGGTGCACGTGAATGAAGTGAAACTTCTTTTTCGATTTAAATCAGATCGCTCTTGTAATAGGGAATGCGGTGTATAAGAGATGCGGCATATTCAACAATTATATGATATATTTTTTAAATTATAGATAGGAAAATAAATATATGTATTTTTTTTTAATATTGGACGCTACTCGTTGCTAACGCTCACGCTGGCCTGTATAACATGTATAACTACGCGCATGCGTTCGAGTGCCGCGCATTCACTCTCGCTCTGTCTCTTTCTATTCCATGGCAGCGTTATGCCATGTTGGAAGTCGCATTAGAAGTTTCACTTCAATAATATTTTTAAACAAATCCTTAGCTAAGTTTGCAAATTATTTCTTCTGTATTCTTCATAATGTAACTTTGTCGATTTTACCCCCAAATGACGCATACGCGGGTTTTTTTTTTAAATCCATGCCGTGTATTTTCCTGTTGTATAGTTTCTTTAAATGACAAAAACGCCGTAATGATATTATCAGTTTCTTTTTTTTTTTTTTTTTTATTGCTTAGATGGGTGGACGAGCTCACAGCCCACCTGGTGTTAAGTGGTTACTGGAGCCCATAGACATCCACAACGTAAATGCGCCACGCACCTTGAGATACAAGTTCTAAGGTCTCAATTATAGTTGTGTTGAAAAACGTAGCAAGACTGACAGAAATTGATGGATTTAATTGAATGATATTAAATGAAATGTTAACGTCGCGCGTTTAATTGTTGGTATCGAGTTTATGCTGATATTATGTTATTTTACACTTAACACGTTAATGTTGTTTAGATTTATTGATTTACATAACCAGACAAGGTCTCGACAATATTTGTAAAAAAGTCTAACAGAGGCCAATAGCATAGCCAATAGACACCACTGCGTTCATTCGCGGAATCCCTCTCTGACTCTATCCATTAGAACAAACTTACTATGATTCGATTCTGTTCTATTCTTTCATTTTTATTTACATAATTTTCATTCATGATGAAAACAATTACCGTTTGATTTTAAATGAAAAATCTTCATGGCTGCATTTTATAAATGTATCTGATATTATTATTAGCAATTGAATTGGCAACGTCACCAAAACTTATCTAATATTGTAGTTTTGTTTTCAGAATCGATACGCCGGGAGTCATCACCCGGGTATCGAACCTGTTCAAGGGGCATCCGGAGCTGATTGTGGGCTTCAACACTTTCCTACCTCCCGGGTACAAGATTGAAGTTCAGAGTAATGGCCAGGTTGGTGTTCTTTCTTTGTTCTTGACTGAAACAGACAGTTCAATTTGCTCAAAGCTTAAGTGGTCAGAAGTACTTGTGTATTGTACTCGCTAAGTCCAAGGTCAGTGATTAGAATTGCATTAGATTATCTTTTGCAATGTGGAATGAATGTTGTTTTACTGTAGTGAATCTGCTATATTATATCTCAATAACTGATGCTCTTCTAAATGCCCTCATACTAGAAAAATTCAAGGTATTCTATTTTGTATGTTATTTTGTTGAGAAGAATGACAGTTTCACCATGGGAATCAATGTAACCAATAAAAGAAACCAGATTACGTTTGCTGGCTCTCGTGACTGCTTAATAACTGGTGGATGTCGTGTGGACATGCGACAGCACATATATATATGTTTGTTGTTGCCAGGTGTCAGTATCGATGCCGTCGCCGACGGCCATTGGCAGCGGCGTCCTGCTGGGAGTACATCACACGCAGCAACCGCAGCTAGTTCACTTGTTACCTGTTCCGCAGTGAGTATATCTATTCTGATTATCTACTTATCATGAAAAATAAATGTTTCCCGATATTAATAAAAAAAATCCCCTAATCAAAGTCTCATAATAATCGTCAAGGGCACGGCGAGTAAACTAACCCATAGGCACAACCCACTGAGTTTCTCAGCGAATCTTCTGAGTGGGTCGCGTTTCTGATCCAGTGATAGATTCTGCGAAGCACTGCTCTTGTTGGTGCTAATGATAGCAACTTCGTCAGGTTTGAGCCCCGTGAGATCACCTACTATTAGCTTATGCAGGAAAAAAAATCAGTCGTTTTTGTCTTGGTCCGATCAAAACTGACATAAGCGAACGCATCTGTTTGTGTTGCCAGACGATTTGATGCTCTAAAGTTTGGTAGTTATGAAATATTTTGGTGTGAATGCTAATTGTTTGTATTGTGGCGACAGTGCAGAGGAGTGTCGTCCCGTCGGGCCGGCGCTGCAGCACCTGTCCCACGCCGCGCCCGACCCCGCCCTGCACCACGCCACCGGTCGGTACCAATGCACCTCACGTGCACACACACACACAGAAATACACATCATTTGTTGAAAATTAAAATTTTATTTAAAATTAAAATTAACTTTAAAAGTTAAATTTAGAAATTAATTTAAATTTAAAAATTAATGTACATTAAAAATTAAATTACATTTAATTAATAACTTAAAATTAAAATTAGATTGTCTTAAAATTACATTGTTAATTAACAAATTTAAAATTAATATTAAATTGTCTTAAAATTACATTATAAAATCCTTAAGTTTATATCAATAAATTTATGCTACTAAACAATACCAAATATAATCACCATCTATTATACTCGCATTGTCTATAAACAAACCATTGGGTAATCCATTACAAACAATTTATTTTGTATGATGAAATTAATTACCGATTGATCATTAATGATAAAAACTTGCGGCTGCTCTATTAGAGTTCTGATAGCAACATTACACACACACGAACAAATAAAATTGAAGGCTGTTTGTCTGAATGTGAGTATTGTTCGTCCCCAGGGCCCCCGGTCACCCCGACGCCGACTGCTCCCCCCGGACAACCAGTCGAATTCAATCACGCCATTGAATACGTTAACAAGATAAAGGTTAGTTTTCACAGTATAGTTCCAGAGCTTAATATCTCTTTAATGAGTTACATTAAAGAGATATGGGGAGTGGTCACGCAGTAGTCGAAATTCGACTATAATTAATTGAAATTATAAGCTCGTGCACGTATTATGATTCTATTGTCAAAGACTAAATATTGGTGAGTTTTAGCATTATTAAGAGCGCATTATGCGGCATAATGCTCAACGTTGAATGTTCCAACTACAGCAACTCGAATCACAATCGAGCACTCTCAAGAGTACTGCTCTCGCGTGATACTCGCAATCGATACCGACTCAGTGACAGAAAATTGACAAGTGTTTTTTCTTGAAGTTGGCATTGATCGAAGTTTTGTTTATATTATCGTTAGTAATATTATTTAATGTTGAAAAAAATTGTAAGGCTTTCGTTTCGTCGTAGTTTCTTAGAAATAATCAATGTTAATTAAAACTGTGCTAACTTAGCGCACTCTGCTGATGCATTTAAAAACTAATTCACGTTCCAATTAAGCTTCAGCATAATTCGGCATTGTGCGTCACTGAGTCGCATTATGCTCTGTAATTGGAAAACTCTACACTTTAAACACATATTAATAAAGACAAACAATATTAATCTATTGTCAATTTGACCACAGACTTTAAGGAATAACGAAAGTTTGACAATAAACAAATATTATTATGCCTGCGTTTGTGTGTCAAATACATGCTAGTGTATGTAATGTTTTCTTTATTGATTTAATGTATCTTTTATGCATTATTTTAAAAAAAATATTAGCATTGTGCACTCCTTCTTTATATTATCTATAAGTGTGGAAAACTTCATACTCCTCCGTCCGCGCAATTTTCGTAAAAAGGGATACAAAGTTTTTGCTTCACGTATTAATATATAGATTTTGTTTGTCAATGGAGGTAGTACATATTTTTAGGTTATTAGGTTGGGTGTTTAACAAAAAACTAAGATAATTGTATTGATTGTGTAAGAGTGACATGACTTCTGACTTTTGCTTGAGAGTAGTAGCTATTGTATAGACTAGTGGTCGGTAACCCGCGTCTCGTAGACTCCTCGGCTACGACTCTTTCGTGAAATGTTTAGTTCAAGCACGGAGTATTACATAAAAATGTATGAAGGGCGGGGCAGCCGTTGTAACTATACTGAGACCTTAGAACTTATATCTCAAGGTGGGTGGCGCATTTACGTTGTAGATGTCTATGGGTTCCAATAACCACTTAACACCAGGTGGGCTGTGAACTCGTCCATCCATCTAAGCAATAAAAAATGTATGTTAAAAAAAAGGCTCCTTGAATAAATTTCAATTGTGTATTATCTATATTGGTTCTTTTGGGTGACTATGTTGCCGACCTATAAATTATGCCATACTATAAATGAGTAACAGACAGGTGAATTTTAACAGACTGAAAATTACACGGCATAAAAATGACATGAACTCTTTTTGTCATGACAGTCCCGTTTTTCCCGTCAACCGGACAAGTACAAGCGTTTCCTGGAGATACTGCACGCGTACCAGCGCGGACACCGCGACCTCAAGGAGCCTCAAGCTAAACAACAAACGGAGCAAGAGGTTTACTCGCAGGTATGAATTTATAAAGTTTGGTGCGTGCGATTTACCTAACCAGTGATTCATCAAGGAAGATCGCCTTTGGTCTGAGCAATTTTTAAATTATTAATCTGGTCTGCAATAATGAATGAATGAATGATTTATTTTATTTCAGACAACAACAAGTCCATATGTGTACATAGTATCATTGAAACATACTTAAAATTAACAAAACCAATCAAATAAAAAAGATACATTTATTAAAAATAATTATCAGTTGAATACATTTCAACTATTTTGTCTTAATTCGTAATGTCTGTCACTCGTTCTGCAGGTGGCTAAACTATTTGAACATCAAGAGGATCTGCTGGCGGAGTTCGGCCAGTTCTTGCCGGACGCTAAGGCCGTTACCAAGCCAGAGCCTGCCCATGAACATCATCCTGTAAGTTGGCCAGTCCATATCCAATTAATGTAATTAGACTTAAGATCGGCAATCAATATCTAGGACAGCTTTTCCCAAAGTGGGCGATATGCCCCCTTGTCGGTGTTGCAGGCCTAAAAGAGGGCGGTAAGTGACCCAGAAAAAAAAAGTTTTTGGGGGATAACATCAAAGGGAAAATTTTCCACTGAACGGTTGACATGCTCAATAGAACTATGGTTCGGATGGAAGTCTATCTTAAACTGTTATTAGCGAGATTCAGGCTTCTGTCAGATATCTTGTTCTATGGCGACTAACTTAAGTTAAGCAATACATTAAGATTGTTTTAATCCAGCATTGTTTGTTTGTTAGCAGTTTTCTCCGGGTCAACCGCCGCGTGAGGTGGAGCCCGAGCGCTTTGCCCCCGCCGTGCAGCCAGAACCTGCTCCAATGCACTTACAGCACGCTCTAGTAAGTATTACCAAAGTGTACTTACAGTAGGCGCCCGAGTTCATGTCCATCCTGACGAACGCGGTAGTGCTGTGACCTAGTTAATTATGGTAATGTCGATAATAACTACCGATTTAGTCAATAGCTGTGTCAATTTGGTTTAATGTAATTTAAGATAATTTTGCAATTCACGTAATAAAATAAATGTGTTATTAATTACTTGTTTATTTCTAATGGAGAAAAATGTTTTTTAAATTCTAATTCAATCACTGTCAAATGAAAAGACAACCGACAGATCAGAATCGGAATCAGTATGTATCTTTTTTTCAGTAGGTTTTTTTCTACCTGAACTTGTTGAAAGTGGAGTAGTCATGGTTAAATAACACAATAGCGTTAGCGTAAATTTTCGGTATCGATAAGCGCGCGTCACAACCGTCAAGGACAACACTCGACGTCAGACAAATGCGGGGAGGAGGGCGGGGGCGGGGCGAACTGTCCCCCGCGCGTCGCCTCTGGCCCCGATGGACATGACCTCGCGCGCATACTGTACTAAATGTATAACAACATAACCCTGTTCTAAAATATACACCCATATCTAATTTGATAATGATTTAGAAAAAAGACTTATCTTGTTATTTTGACTGTGTTATCTTCATTTAAAAGTAACAATTCGCCAATTACGGACCTACAAATTATTTTCTAGAGAAAAAAGCATTATGTCGTTAAAAGTTTATTGTTATATCGTTAATTGTAACTATTTTAATGTTCTCATTTAAGTGAATTAATGTAATTCTTTTGAGAATAAAAAATATCTTTAACCCGAAAAGTTTCATTCAATGTTTATATTCTTCTTTCTTTTCTATTACCCCCTGCCGAGGGTAGGGCTCGAATCAAATCCTTCCATTTGCATCGGTCTTGGGAAATCTGTTCTAGCTCCTCCCACGTCATATCCAAGACGTCCAGTTCTTGCTCTACTGAGCGACGCCAAGCTGTTTAATGTTTATCAAATAAATACTTTGTTATTTAATAATGTACTATCTAATTTAGCAACAGTTATTGTTCTTGGATTCTTGCGAATTGTAGACATAATTGAATGTGCAATTTCGAAAAGGGCACATGTCGCATATTTTGTCAAATACGTTCATATACATGTAGCTTTGAGGCTAACCTACACCCATTTTATAATAATTTCCAGTAATTTTCAACTGCTAATTAACACTTAAATATATCTCAAAAGTTAATATTTTAAATTTTACACTGGTTTAGAAAATAATCAGTTTTTTTCATTTCCTGAACATTTTACATTTTCAGAAATGTGCCCTTTTCGAAATTGCATATTCAATTAAAGCTAGTTTCACGGCCTAATTTTCCTACGCTCGAACTCAGCACAATATTCAATTGTCAACAAACAACTACTTAGTCATCCATAGTTTTTATGATCATTTATGAATAATTTTTATTCAAACCCATAATGCTTCGCACAGGTTCCAAAGCATGTGACTACCCCGCCGGCTGTGGTACAGCATCCGCAGCATCATCACCTCAAGAGATCTCCGAGTATCTCATCGACAGGTCAACGTAAGTTTCTTATGTTTCACATTGTTTCAGGTTGAGTAACTTGATGATTAGTTTTTGTTTATTTGAAATTAGTAAATGTTTAACAATCAAGCAGGGATTTATGTTTATCAAAGAGCCATTTTTAATTGTTTGTTGCATGAAATGTCCATGAATTGAGAGACCTGGTGTTTTGAACTCTTAATCTCAATTCCTACAAACCAACACATATGCAACTTCAGAACATTAGGGCAGGATGGTGATATCTATCCTCACAACATAGCTATAAATGTTTTTTATTTATTTATTTATTTTTATTGCTTAGATCGTTTTTACTTAGATGGCTCACAGCCCACCTGGTATCAAATAGTTACTGGAGCCCATAGACATCTACAACGTAAAACCGCGCCACCCACCTTGAGATATGAGTTCTAAGATCTATGGTTCCAACGGCCCCATCCACGCTGGTACCTACCTGCGCGGACTCGTAACGGGTCCTATGACCAGTAAATCAAACCAAATCAATTTTTTTTATTTAACATCAATGAAAGTACACACTTGTTGAACGTCAAAAAGAACTACTGCCAATTCACAAAAAATTAGCCTCTTGTCCTGAGAAGAGCTGGCAAGAAACTCAGCAGGCATGTCTTTTTTTTTTAATATTAGTTTTTTTTAAATATTCATTTTTACAATGAGTATTATAACGTAACAATTATAGCAATATTGAATGATATATGTCCCAAATAACATGTTAAACTTAAAGATGACGTTCCCCACAGCGTCGTCAGCCCCGCCGCCCGCCAAGAAGCCGCGCGCGTCGTGCTTGTCGGGCGCCACGGTGCGCGACGTGTCGTACTCGGAGGCGGCCAAGCTGGCCACCATCCACGACTACAGCTTCTTCGAGCGGGCCAGGAAGGCGTTGCGCTCGCAGCAAGTCTACGATAACTTTTTAAGGTAACTACATTTATATATTACTAGATGATGACCGAGCTTTGCTCGTTTTTTTTTTTTTTATAACGCCATCTTGTTGTGTCTTTAAAGCGGTTAGTTGCCCTCAATTAAGAAAAATAGTATTATTATTCGTCAATAGATGTCAGGAAGAGTCATAAAGTTGTTTATTGAAAACACGAATAAAACAACATTTTCTGAAAATAAATCGTAGCTAGATCGATTTATCGCCCCCGAAATCAAATCAAATCAAATCAAATCAAAAAATTTTTATTCAACATAAATGAAAGTACATACTTGTTGAACGTCAAAAGAACTACCGCCAATTCACAAGAACTAGCCTCCGTCCTGAGAAGAACTGGCAAGAAACTCAGCGGGCATGTTTTTTTTTTTTTTTTTTTTTAATTAGCAATTATTATTTATTAATTTTTTAATATTACATAATTTTTTTTAAATCCCCTGTATACTAAATTTTATGAAAATCGTTGGAGCCGTTTCCGAGATTCAGATTATACATATATATATAAGAATTGCTCGTTTAAAGGTATAAGATAAGATATATGTAAGTAGGGGTAAGACCTCTTGTGAGTCCGCACGAGTAGGTACCACTACCCTGCCTATTTCTGCCGTGAATCAGTAATGCGTATCGGTTTGAAGGGTAGGGCAGCCGTTCTAACTACATTGAGACCTTAGAATCTCAAGGTGGATTGCGGCTTTTACGTTGTAGATGTGTACGGACTCCGGTAACCACCTAACACCGGGTGGGCTTTACCCACCCATCTATGCAATAAATAAATAAAAAATCTATTTTATCTAGCTGTTGCTGTTGATGTGGTGATCATTTCTCAGGCACTTTAGAGTACAAAAATAATTGTATAAACGAAATTTGGAATGAATGAAAACTCTCATTAATAAAATAACTTACTCAAAATTAATACTTTTTCTATCATCTTCCCAAAGTATTCAATTACCACGTATTGATAGATTTAAAAAATATAAATAAAAGGGTTATCTACTAAATGTAATCATTTGCATTAATTATATTATAATTTAATTTAGTTTTTTATATTAAAAATAAATCTTCGATTGATTGAAAAATAAAACATTTAAAAAGAAAACAACAATTTTGTTAGACCCACCAGTAGAAATCACTTATTGAAAGCTGACAAGTTGAAATAAATAAATTTAAATTTAAAAATCCACACCAATGTCTTATCTATATGTGTTAATCTAACATAAAACATAACATACAACTCGTATGTAAACCGGTCACCGTCCTCGTCGATCCCGTCGCTAGCGACGAGTCAATTAACCCTCAGACACAGCCCACTGAGTTTCTCGTCGGACCTTGTCAGAGGGTCGCGTTTCCGATCCCGTGGTAGATTCTGCGAAGCACTGCTCTTGCTAGGGCCAGTGCTAGCAACAATCCGGTTTGAGCCCCGTGAGCTCACCTACTAGTTAAGGTTACGCTGAAAGAGCCTCTCAAGGCTATCTTAGGTAGGAAAAGAAAAAAATCGTATTTAAAAAATTTGCGTTAATGTATTATTTCACCATAGATGCCTGCTCCTGTTCACGAACGAAATAATATCATCGTCGGAGTTATTGTCAGTGACGAGTCCGTTCCTGTGCCGCCACCCGGAGCTGCAGCGCTGGCTGCACGACTTCGTGGGCCCGCCCTCGCCGCCGCACACCCCCACCCACACCCCTAATACGGGTAACTATCTATCTATAATATCTGTACTGGTGGTGTAATCTTTGTACTGGTGGTAGGACCTCTTGTGAGTCCGCGCGGGTAGGTACCACCACCCTGACTATTTCAGCCGTGAAGCAGTAATGCGTTTCGGTTTGAAGGGTGGGGCAGCCATTGTAACTATACTGAGACCTTATAACTTATATCTCAGGATGGGTGGCGCATTTATGTTGTAGATGTCTATGGGTTTTAGTTATCACTTAACACCAGGTGGGCTGTGAGCTCGTCCACCCATCTAAGCAATAAAAAAATTATAAAATAAAACTATATATCGAGGGGTGAAAGGCTTTTTATTATTTTATGCTTACTATTAAACTTTTTGTCGAGCATAAAATCATTGTTTTCGATAAAAATTTGTCACGCTGTTTACACAGGCTACCCTTGGACCAACCCTATACCGGTGGAGCCCCGCCCTCGGTACGAGAGTGTCGGCGCCCTCGGGGCACAGATGCGAAATGATCGCCCCCAAGGAGACATGGCAATGGATATTGGTATGTGTATTGTGATTTACAATTATCAAGTATCTGTTGACTGAATAGAATAGTTTCACTAAACTGTATTGCATCTTTTATTTAATTCATTATATGGTCTACACAAACTCGCTGTTCACATGATAAGTTGTTACTGAAATTGAATAAGTGAAAAAATCGTTTGCAAGAATATTGGTATATAGATGGCCTTCCTTCAAATATCTTTCATATAGCTATCTTTTCTACAAAGAAATCAAACACTGCCAGTGAAACAAAAGTATATGTGTTTGTGGAGTTTTGGAAGAAAGGAAAGGGAAGTCGTTTGATGTGGAAGGCGGAAGACCGCATTATGTGGAAGGCATTGGGGAAGGCCTATGTCCAGCAGTGGGCCGATAAAGGCTGATGATGATGATGATGATGAACTGTAAATAAAATTTAAAAACTTTTCTGCATTTTCCTGATCGTTTCTTGCTTTCTAGTATTATATAATTGGTTTTGTTGTGCAGATCTATCGACGTGCAAGCGTCTCGGCACGTCGTACTGCGCGTTACCTCGCGAGGCGGCCGCCAGGAAATGCTCGGGACGAACGCCGCTCTGTAAAGAAGTAAATATAAAGTTACACTAGTTTTACTGTAGGCGGGAGATTCGTGAAATATAAACTAAAATAATGGAAAACACAAATACAATGTTTTCTATCTGTACTATGAATTCACGAGTGAACTAACCAGAAATGATATGAAAGGATATATATTTTTTCTTTTTATTGTTTAGATGGGTGGCCGAGCTCACAGCCCACCTAGTGTTATGTGGTTACTGGAGCCCATAGACATCCACAACGTAAATGCGCAACCCACCTTGAGATATAAGTTCTAAGGTCTCAAATATAGTTATAACGGCTGCCCCACCCTTCAAACCGAAACGCATTACTACTTCACGGCAGAAATGGCAGGGTGGTGGTACCCACCCGCGCGGACTCACAAGAGGTCCTACCGCCAGTATGTGGTTAGTTTATATCGCTCTGGAAGAGGAAGCGAGAGATATACCTAAGGTAGTTAAGGTGATCTCTGTATAACTTAATAAAAGATTTTGACCTGTCAAGAACTTCCATAAAATTCTATACTTGAATTAACATACCAAATCTGTCGACTTAGGGAGCACATTAAGCATGTAAAGCACATTGGTGGGGTAGCAGGTTTGTTGTCATTCTCAAAATTCCTCAATCAGCAACATTTTAGAACCCTGGTACACCGATAACGTGAATCCATGGGTTTTCAATGGCTAATCTAAGAGTCTTCAGCAGTAAATATAATTGTTTTAACTCTGATAATTGTTTTTATGTGCACTACTCGGTATTTATGCAATAAAGCGTGACTTCTTGATTTTTAGAAATTTTTATTGTAGACAAAAATGTATATATTACTTTACTGTTTGTATACAGGTACTTAATGATACATGGGTGTCGTTCCCGACATGGAGTGAAGACTCGACATTCGTAACATCAAGAAAAACCCAGTATGAAGAATACATTTACCGTTGTGAAGATGAGAGGTTTGAGGTTAGATATATTTTTTTTTTTTTTGCTATGCTGTCTATGTATTATAGTCCTAACAAATTTTAAAAAGGGTTCAAGGTTTTTTTCTTGAAGTACATGTGAAGACATAGCTGCTAACGCGATAGCTAATTTCGATTATAATTACAGCTGGACGTGGTTATAGAAACAAACGCCGCCACCATCCGAGTGTTGGAGGGCGTGCAGAAGAAGTTGTCCCGCATGTCGGGCGAGGACGCGGCGCGGTACCGGCTGGACGACTGTCTCGGCGGACACTCGCCCACCGTGCACCAGAGGGCGCTGCGACGCATCTACGGCGACAAGGTGGTACGCGACGACGCGCTCCTGGCATGCCGCACACACCCGCACTCACACGCACGCACTCACACGCAAGCACTCACACGCACGCAGTCAAACCGCCGCACTTACACACCCGCACTCACACAACCGCACTCGAATACCCGCACTTACACATCCGTACTTATACACCCATACTTACACACCCGTACTCACATACCGCACTCTCACACCGTACTCACACACCCCCACTCTCACAAACGCACGTGCTCTTACATACGCACGCACTCACCCGCACTCTCTTACACGCACGCAGTAATCGCAGGATTTTTCTAATCGAAATACTGAGCTTACTTGATTACATTACATGTATTCTGAAAAGAGAAAGCTCTGAATTTCTTACCATTTCTTCTCGGTAGTGAAACACATTCGAAACATTTTAATTTAAAATTCTTGTAATTACGAAATACAAAGCCTCAGCAAATCAAATTTTATATGAAATCAAAATTACTAAATTCATTTATTAAGTAAAACAAAACAACAAAAACAAAGAAATAGAGAAATTTGATTATATTATAAGCTTTATAGTTTTAACCTTTATGCATCTGATGTCAAATTGAATAGATCTTAGTTTAGTGCGCACAAGTGAATATATAAACTTATGATCTAGAGTACATTGGTGCATGCTTTGTATTTATTTCAAGATTTTGAAATATGTGTAGTTTTTCATGATGCTTAAGTAGTTAGATTCACAATCTTTTGGAAGGCATGTTTTTAGATCTAACCATATGTCTATGAAAAAAATATTCAAATATTTTGTTATTCTTGCCCATAGGCAGTGGACATCATTGCAGGCCTAAAGAAAAACCCCGTTGTGGCTGTACCTGTTGTACTGAGGAGGTTGAAAGCTAAAGAGGAAGAATGGAGAGAGGCTCAGAAGGTAATATTTTAATAGTCAGTTTGTCATTCAGTGCCCACTCTCATGACCCATCGGGCGTAAAGTGGTTTCTCGACCCCATAGACATCACGACATCACGACCTACCTTGAGACATGAGGTTGTAGTCCCAATTAGATTGTGTAATGGCTGTCACATCCTTCACATCGGAACGTCTACTTCTCTGGGGAACTAGGTAGGATGGTATTAATTACCTGTGCAGGCTTACCATACACACGGCCACCAAGACAAGCAATTTAGCATATCATAGTACTCTCTTACAAGTAATCACCTATTAAGACACCCCGAGGGAGAGATAGGTGGTGCTTTTCCAAGGCTATGCGTCTATGGGCTCCAGTGACCACCTCACACTAGTTGAACCCATCAGTCTATCTTCAGCATACCAGACGAGAAACATTGGTCTAATCATTTGTTTTCCGCAGGGCTTCAACAAACAGTGGCGTGAACAAAACGAAAAGTATTATTTGAAATCTCTCGACCATCAAGGGATCAACTTCAAGCAGAACGATCTGAAGGCGATGCGCTCGAAGACATTGTTCAACGAGGTAGAGAGCGCCTACGCGGCCCGCCGCCCGGGACCGCACCTCGTGGTCGACTACAACATGCAGAGCCGACAGGAAGGTACTTGATTGTATATTTCTTTAAAGGGATTTTATGACCTGGTAATTAAGACCTTTAAGTCATGTCTTATTTATATTCTTATTTTTATGAAAATTAATAATATGGAGTGAAATGTAATTAAATGAAATGAGATGAGATGATATGGAATGAAATATAATATCTCAGTAAAATGATGGTCATTTACTGAGATTTTTTCAGTGGACTTTTTGGAGGATCCCGAGACGTCCAGCGGCTTTGTTTCATTTCTCGCATTTGTGCACTTTCACAGATATCAAAAAGTTAATAAACCACAGTTATTACAGATTTAAACCTGAAGAAACACTAAATAGACAAAATAATACAAATCACACAACTTCGCTCTTCGCGTTCCCGCCAAAAAGTCTGCTACTTAATTGTATAGTTGTTGTCGTCGTGCGGACTCGCAATACGTCCTACCATCAGTAAAAAGTGCTGCTGAGGGATCACACTAGCGTTAGGTGTTTATCGGAGCTCGGACGTCAAGCTGCCTGCTTGATTATACCCACAAAAGCGAACTTCAAATACACTCGACTGTAACTGGTCTAGAAATATTTGTATAGGATTCAAAAATGTCACAAAATCACGTATATAAAGACAAATGATGAAAACACATGCGATGTGCCTTTAACAGAATGTTCTGTGTTGATACAGCATGCTGCCTTCCTACTGATGTCTTTCTTCTATGCTGAATAAAACCTATAAATAAATATTAGTTATCATATCGTTGCTATCAAACCAAAATCTTCTATGTGTAAAAACTCTATTTTGAATTAACGTGTAAAAACATTTTTGTATAAAATTTTATATGAAGGTGAATTTTTAAGAACTATATTCAAATGAAAGCTGTAGATAAATATTAAAGCTATAGTATAGACCCATAACAGTTTTTTTTTATACAGTAGATAGGGCTGTGAACTATACGAAAATTTCAAAAAGTAAAAATCTCAAAAAGTGCACATAGCGGATTTTGGTTTGACAACGACGATCTTTTGCATATTTTAAATAAATATGATATCAAGATTGCATTATTTCTTTCTTTTATAAATGAAATTTAATTTATTTAATTGTAGATATCAACAAACCATTTTCAACATCAAATTCTATGTTTTTTAGCAATAAAAATAGTTCGGGACACCGCGGAGCTCCTTATACATCACGCCAGGAGACAAACTGCTATACAGAAGGCTGAGAAACGGAGAATCAAACAGTTGTTAAGGCATTTCCTACCCGATCTCTTCTCGCATCCACGGCAGCCGCTATCTGATGATGAGAAGGACGAAGGTACTTTTATTTCTACTAATTTAACATAATATTACAGAAATAAGAGAAAGGCTAATTTATCAATGGTAGAAAAACATATAAAATCATTTCAATCAAATAATTATTGAAGCAAATGTTGTATTATGTTATTACAAAGGGCTCTATTTGTATCATTCTTACATATGTCACATCATGCCCTCCTATGTTCTATTATATCTTAGGTTTTAAGCAAATAATTGCCCACAGCTTTGACTATTGGAATTTTTTGTTATTCGCCTCATCGCCAAACACTGCCAACATGAATTCTGCAGTAGTTTGAAGATGAAGCCAAAAAATATCTTGGTACTGTTAACAATGTCCCAAGATGTTTATTCTTGTCCTTGCATGAAGTTTTTAATGAATATACACTTTGACAACCACAATAGCAGATTCTGAAATGTGTAGATTTATTCTTATCAGTATCAAACACCATTGGTATTGTCCTAGAAGACAAGGAGGATGCACCGAGCCCGGAGTGTCCAATCGATCAACAGGGTCAAGAAAATGACAAGAATAATTTAAAACAAGAAATTAAACAAGAGGTATGTTCTTCAAATCTAGTTTTGATTCTAGATCTGTCTTAGGGATAATTGAGACATTGAGTAATTTACGAAAATTTGTAACTCTTTATAATTAAACTAACCGCCTGATTCGCTGGGCATTTAAAATTAACATTATTATTTATTGTCATTATTATTAGGGGGAGTCCTACACTCATATAAATATTAGCCTATCAATTAAGTACATGTATTTTCTACATGGATACCAAGTTTCAAGTCAATCGGATGCCACGGTTCAGTAGTTATAACGGAACATCCGTAAAAACCACTAGATTTATATATTAGTATAGATGAAATGATGATAGAACATGCGATGTGCCTTTAACAGAATATTGAATGTTGATACAGCATGCTGCCTTCCTACTGATGTTTTGACCACACTAATATTTGGTAAAATATAGCACAAACAGAAACATAATTAATTTATTTTTTTCAGTCATCTGAATCTGATAACGCGTCAGACAAAAGCGGCAAGAACGGAAAGAATAACAAAGAGAATAAACCCAAAAATAATAATAATTTGGAGAGCAATAAAGGTGAGTTTTACATATTACATGGTAATGAATGAATGAATGAATGAATGATTATTTTATTTCAGACAACAATAAGTCCATATGTGTACATAGTATCATTGAAACATACTCAAAATTAACAAAACCAATCAAATAAAAAAGATACATTTATTAAAGTAATTATCCGTTGAATACATTTCAAATATATCATTCAACTGATACTTACTTCGAACCAACCATTATTATTATTATTATTATTATTTAGTCCGCAAGTGAACCATGGTACAATGGTTCAAATACCGACAGTCATAATGTAATGTCATGTATGAAAAAAAACATTATATCGGATTGGTTGTTTCTAATTTCAACATAGCAGCATTAATGGATATGAAAAAGCTATAAGAACATAAATGGTTGTCTTTTTATTGTGGCTAATCTCTGAATCTGTTTTGTTTACAGAAAGTGTACTAACCCAGCCGACTAATGGAAAGAGGTTAAGCAATGATGATCAAATACTGAAATCTGACTTAAAGACTGAACCATTCGAAGTAGAAGATGATCTCAGGGATCACCCCCCTAATGTGAGTTCTCGTTTTTTTTTAGAATTTAGAAGCAGAGGTTGGATCCTATCCATCTGACGAGCATTGCCAAGTCGTTGCCTACCAGAACCATTAAAATTAAATAGTAAATACAATGTCATCTATTGTACACTGATATGGGGTACTTCAGTAGAAACAGATCAATGGCCTTGCTGTAATTCGAGATATGCGTAAAATGTATTGTAAGGTATGAACGTGCAAACAACACAAGTGAACAATATATTGTTCTATATAACAATACACATGTGGGTATATCCCAGCCTTGTAACATCAATATGTATATCAATCATCGAATGTATTGGAAACTCTTCGAATCGCCAGACCTGGAAGCGCATTGCCTGGAGCGGTCTTTAGGAGCATTGGCGACCTAACGGATGCTTCTGCACATGTTTTATTTTTATTTTTATTGCTTAAATGGGTGGGTGGACCAGCTCACAGTCCACCTGGTGTTAAATGGTTACTGGAGCCCATAGACATCTACAACGTAAATGCGTCACCCACCCTGAGATATAAGTTCTAAGGTCTCAGTATAGTCACAACGGCTGCCTCACCCTTCAAACCGAAACGCATTACTGTTTCACGACAGAAATAGGCAGGGTGGTGGTACCTACCCGCGCGGACTCGCAAGAGTGTCCGACTGAGAAGAAGAACATCAATGCCAACATTTTAACAGTTTATTCATCCTTCGACAAAGACACACGACTTATTAAATTTGTAAATATATGCATGTTGTATACAGGAGGGCAGGTTCGTGTGCACGTCCTCGTGGTACCTGTTCCTGCGCGTGCACGGCGCGCTGTGCCAGCGGCTGGCGGCCGCGCGCCGGGCCATGTCCGCCGCGCCGCCCGCCCGCCCGCGGCACGACCGCCCCCCCGCGCTCGCCCTGCGACTCGCGCCCGCACACCGTTAGTACACTCACACACGTTGACTGCTGAATGTTATAGGCTTTATATTAATTTGAATTATTTATTTCTAAAGGATCATCCACAAGGTGGACAGACTTGGTTAAGTTATCTACGAAGTGTTCCCTTACTGAGTGTACACGTACCGCCACAAATAGAGAAAGATGGAGAAGTCTCTCAAAAGCCGCAACCAAACATTAAGACATACGTAACCACGACCACTCTGCCAGGAGTGTAAGACTGAGAAGAATTTCTAAAGGCACAGACAAGTTCTCTAGTTGTCTGCTATTTAACAATAACAGAATGCCATAGACAATACGTATAGCGCCGTCTACCTTCAAGCATGACTGCAATTACCATTGCATTTAATTTACGATTATTAAAACTTTTCAAAAATGGATAACTTAAATATAATATAATGTATATGTGTATAATATATAAATGTAAATTTCAATGCACCTACCTTTATTTATTGTGCACTCTGCACTATCTTTGGGTGACTGGTAGAGAATACCACAGGTATTAAGTGCGCCAATGTAAATTTTACGTGAAGTGCTACTATTTGCCAGAACCACATATTCGAAAAACATTATGCTTTTACATTGTATTACTCTGTCACGTCATAATTAGAGATGAGCCAGAATTTCGTCGACCATTAACGCATCAGATCGAAATCTCAATACACTACACACCATTAGCAATACAATTATTGAATAAATTGAAAAAAAAATATTTGAAAATTATGAATGTCTTCCACAGATTTGCCAGCGGACGTGTCGTCGCCAACAGAATACTACAACTTGTTGCTGGACCTGGTGAAGGGCGTCCTCGACGGCAACATGGAATCTTCCGCCTTCGAGGATGCAGCCCGAGAAATGCTCGGGATCAAAGCCTATCCGGCCTACACGCTGGACAAACTGGTGTCTATCGCTGTCAGGCAGGTTAGTATCTATGTATTGCTATATCAGACCTGAGGAAATACTCATCAGCACATCAAACATCTTGTTTGAATTACTCTTAGTATTGGATCATTTGGTAACGATAAGAGATAAATGATGAAAACACATGCGATGTGCCTTAAACAGAATATTCTGTGTTGATACAGCATGCTGCCTTCCTACTGATGTTTCTTATTGTTGTCAAGATTAACAAACTTACCACCTTTATGATGAGTAAAGAATATGTTTATGCTCAAACTTGATGACGTTGCTAACATGAACCTTAGCAAGAGCCGTGCTTCGTAGAATCTACCACCGGATCGGAAACGCGACCCACTGAGAAGATCCGGCGAGAAACTCAGTGGGCTGTGTCTGTGGGTTAATTTATTCGTCGAGCCCTTCGACGAGAACGATCACCGGTCATTTTGTAAAATTATACATATACTGGTGGTAGGACCTCTTGTGAGTCTGCGCGGGTAGGTACCACCGCCCTGCCTATTTCTGCCGTGAAGCAGTAATGCGTTTCGGTTTGAAGGGTGGGGCAGCCGTCGTAACTATACTTGAGACCTTAGAACTTATACTAATACTATACTCGGTGGGTTAAGACTACGTGCAGAATGTGTGTAGTATAGCTTGTATTGTCGTGTACAGCTGCAGCACTGCGCGTCGGAGCCGTGGTCGGTGCGCGCGGCCGAGCTGTGCGCGCGCGACATGCGGGCCGCCGCCGGGCCCTACGTGCGCCGCGCCCTCGCCGCGCTGCGCCCGCACCACGCCGCCTTCCTCGTGCGAGCGGTCAGTACCAAGACAACCCTGGCGACTGTTACATGTGCCCCTCAATAATAATTAACTAATTTATCACGAGCTTATGGATCCTTTAGATCCAATAACCCTTGCATTAGACGCCTTCAGCTCTAACACTAGGAGCCGACTGATGGACCACAGTAACCGTGCAACCTAACCTAAACATCAGCCCTCTCTCCCAACTCTCTACTACTCTGTAGTGCTAACTGAAGAAAGGACTATGTTTTTGTTTCTAATTATATAAACGAGACGCAGTTTCTACTCAGGAACACACTTACCCCAACCGTTGTCGGTTCTCCGGCTAATACAGCCAGCCACTGCCACTTCAGCTTACTAATCCGCCGATCTTAATCAGTTCTATTATGCTTTAGGGTTTCATTTAGAGAACGCGAGCTATGGCGTGTTTTGTACACCATAGTAGCTTAAGATACTTACTTACATACTTAGCTCGCTGAGTTTCTCGCCGGATCTTCCCAGCGAGTCGCGATTCCGATCCGGTAATAGATTTATTCGCGAAGCAGCTGTCCTCGAGGTCTAGGCGCCGGGCAGCTGTTAGCAAATTCCACCCGTCCTGACTGAGCCTCTGCTCGCCCACTTGTCCTGGTGAAACTGGAGAGACCTCTGGGCCACCAGTTAAAGCATTACTGAATGCATCGTCTCTCTGTAAAGACAATTTATTGTTGAAGCCCAGCGAACAGAATTGACTTAGCGAAAACACATCATTTGTACTATTTCTTTTATAAAATAAACTCAATGTCCGTCATAGTTTCCTTTATGCCGTTCGCAAAATAATTGAAACATCTAACTCCGATTTGGGCTTTTAGTGTCTATAGTTAAGCATTGGTGATCATCCAACTTCAGGTTGGCCTTGAGCTGTCATAAGTTATCTAATTAGAATGCTTTGAAGTGATTACCATACCAACAGGAAATTACTTGAGAAATCCTTTCTTTTGGAACCATCTTTAAGTCTCTTTCAGCTGATATGCAAAACAATTATTGAAACATCAAACTCTTATTTTGACTTTTATTATCTATAGTCAAGCTTCAGTGACCATTGAACTTTAGGTTGGTTCTAAGCTCTCAACCATTATCTAAATAGAATACCCCGTTTCAAGGAAATGATCAGTAATGCAGATTATTTGTCAACAGTACGGTGGAGACGAGTGTAAAGTAACATTTGAGCTGCTAGAAAGCGCTGGAGAAGGAAGGACGTCCCCACACAACAACGACAACAGAATGTCACCGACAGCACAGGTAGGTTTTTATTTTTCAGACTATCTAAAGTAGATCAGAATGTTTAGCTATGTACAGTCCGCGCGCGAGCTCCGAGGAATTTTAAGGAATATTGACGTAATGAGCTAGTGTTGTAATTAGTCGATATTGCACTATCGATACTATAAAATAGTTTTATGAGGGTATTATATACTTCATATAAAAAAAGCAATTGATCACGTATGAATTTCATTTAATGAACTGATACTTATTAGGAGTGGGTGATATAAATCGTATGTAGATTCAATATCTATATATCGCAGCAATATCGTTGAATCCGATATCGCCCCGCACGAAATCTATATATCGATATCAGCCGATACACGATATTGCTCGATGTGATGCGCATCGCCATATCGGACCGATTCGTGAATCGAAATCTATAAAACGATATCAGCCGATACACGATATTGCTCGATGTGATGCGCATCGGCATATCGTACCGATTCGTGAATATCAGCAATATTCGTTTGGTTCGTATCGAATCGGCCAGAGTGAGTGAGCGGACGATATCCCTATCGTGCGCTCACTCACATATGATGAATGAAACAGAAACAGGCATTATCCATACAATTATAAACCTTATATTTAAGTCCATACGTCTGTAGATTATTCTTAGTGTATCAGCAGGATACAATTTAGGANCTCCTGAATTAATGAAATTGCCTCGATTGTCTAGTGAACAGTTGGTGTGCCGAATTGCCGATATCGGGTATGGGGTTCGAATTTTAGGCGTGCTTTGTACATACCAACGAGTTTTCGACGAAATATTATGTTCCTATAGTATCTACCTGTACTGAATACCGAGTGTTTTAAACATTAAGAAAAACATTGCGAGGAAGTAATTGTAAGACTGTCCTATTTCCAATACATCATATAGTTAAAATTATAGATGTATAAAATATAACAATTATAGGTAGGTAATGAAAATAAAAAAGCTGATTGTAGTTACATACTACTAGCAACATATATTGGAGCACTTTAATACAATTTTATTGTAAAATATAAATAATACTCTTTTATAGTTTGAAATTAATGATTAACTTTTCACACTCATTGTTCATTCATGATTGAACGAGAACTGAACGCATCACTATTACTTTAAATATAGCAACATTATTTCACAAAGTGACATTAGCTACTGTCAGCTAGCTTCGTCTAATTAAAAATCCGACTATATGTGCACTACTCTGGTTAATCTAAGAGTCTTCAGCAGTAAATATAATTGTTTTAACTCTGATAATTGTTTTTATGTGCACTACTCAGTATTTATGCAATAAAACGTGACTTCTTGATTTTTAGAAATTTTTATTGTAGACAAAAATTTATATATTACTTTTCTGTTTGTATATAGGTACTTAATGATACATGGGTGTCGTTCCCGACATGGAGTGAAGACTCGACATTCGTAACATCAAGAAAAACCCAGTATGAAGAATACATTTACCGTTGTGAAGATGAGAGGTTTGAGGTTAGATATTTTTTTTTTTTTGCTATGCTGTCTATGTATTAAAGTCCTAACAATTTTTAAAAAGCGTTGAAGTCGTTTTTTTCTTGAAGTACGTGTGAAAACATAGCCGCTAACGCGATAGTTAATTTCGATTATAATTACAGCTGGACGTGGTTATAGAAACAAACGCCGCCACCATCCGAGTGTTGGAGGGCGTACAGAAGAAGTTGTCCCGCATGTCGGGCGAGGACGCGGCGCGGTACCGGCTGGACGACTGTCTCGGCGGACACTCGCCCACCGTGCACCAGAGGGCGCTGCGACGCATCTACGGCGACAAGGTGGTACGCGACGACGCGCTCCTAGCATGCCGCACACACCCGCACTCACACGCACGCACTCACACTCACACGCACGCACTCACACACCCGTACTCACGCACTCTTACTCACTCACACACCCTTACTCCACTCAAACACTCGCACCTATACACAGGCACGCACTCACGCCCACGCATACCGGTTTTCTAAGTTCAAAATAGAAAGAATTGACTACAGGCTTATTCCAAGAAATTTCGCTAAATATTGAAATTCAATAAGAGATAAAAAAGTCAATATTGACAAAATACATTTTAAAGATACATTTATCATAACTGTGCCTGTTTCATAACTGACTGTCTAACTTGAGAACATTACATTTATTAAAAAAAGATGAAGCTCTTGAGTTTCTTGCAGATTCTTCTCAGTAGTAAAACCTATTCCAAACATTTTAATTTAAAATTCTTGTAATTACCAAACACAAAGCCTCAGCAAACCAAACTTTTATAATAAATCAAAATGACTAAATTCATTTATTAACTGACACAAAACAACAAAAACAATGCAATAGAAAATTTGATTATATTAGTAAGCTTTATAGTTTTAACCTTTATGCATCTGATGTCAAATTGAATAGATCTTAGTTTAGTGCGCACAAGTGAATATATAAACTTATGTTCTAGAGTACATTGGTGCATGTTTTGTATTTATTTCAAGATTTTGAAATAATATGTTTAGGTTTTCATAGATGCTTAAGTAGTTAGATTCACAATCTTTTAGAAGGCATGTTTTTAGATTTAACCATATGTCTATGAAAAAAATATTCAAATATTTTGTTGTTATTGCCCATAGGCAGTGGACATCATTGCAGGCCTAAAGAAGAACCCCGTTGTGGCTGTACCTGTTGTATTGAGGAGGTTGAAAGCTAAAGAGGAAGAATGGAGAGAGGCTCAGAAGGTAATATTTCAATAGTCAGTTTGTCATTCAGTGACCACTCTCATGACCCATCGGGCGTAAAGTGGTTTCTTAACCCCATAGGCATCACGACGTGAATGCCACAACCCATCTTGAGACATGAGATTGTAGTCTCAATTGGATTGTATAATGGCTGTCACATCCTTCACATCGGAACGTCTACTTCTCTGGGGAACTAGGTAGGATGGTATTAATTACCTGTGCCGGCTTACCATACACACTGCCACCAAGACAAGCACTTTAGCATATCATAGTACTCTCTTACAAGTAATCACATATTAAGACACCCCGAGGGAGAGATAGGTGGTGCTTTCCCAAGGTTATGCGTCTATGGGCTCCAGTGACCACCTCACACTAGTTGAACCCATCAGTCTGTCTTCAGCATACCAGACTAGAAACATTGGTCTAATCATTTGTTTTCCGCAGGGCTTCAACAAACAGTGGCGTGAACAAAACGAAAAGTATTATCTGAAGTCTCTCGACCATCAAGGGATCAACTTCAAGCAGAACGATCTGAAGGCGATGCGCTCAAAGACATTGTTCAACGAGGTAGAGAGCGCTTACGCGGCCCGCCGTCCGGGACCGCACCTCGTGGTCGACTACAACATGCAGAGCCGACAGGAAGGTACTTGATTGTATATTTTTTTAAGGGATTTTATGACCTGGTAACTAGGACCTTTAAGTCATGTCTTATTTATATTCTTATTTTTATGAAAATTAATAATATGGAGTGAAATGTAATTAAATGAAATGAGATGAGATGAGATGATATGGAATGAAATATAATATCTCAGTAAAATGGTGGTCATTTACTGAGATTTTTTCAGTGGAATTTTTGGAGGATCCCGAAACGTCCAGCGGCTTTGTTTCATTTTCCCGCATTTGTGCACTTTCACAGATATTGAACAGTTAATAAACCACCGTTATTACACATTTAAACCTGATGTAACAATCAATAGACAAAATAAAACAAATAGCTCAACTTCACTCCTCGCGTTCCCGCCAAAAAGTCGGGTACTTAATTGTATATGTTGTTGTCGTAGTAAATATTTGTATAGGATTCAAAAATGTCACAAAATCACATATATAAAGACAAATGATGAAAACACATGCGATGTGCCTTTAACAGAATGTTCTGTGTTGATACAGCATGCTGCCTTCCTACTGATGTCTTTCTTATATGCTGAATAAAACCATATTAGTTATCATATCGTCGCTATCAAACCAAAATCTGCTATGTGTAAAGACTATTTTGAATTAATGAGTAAAAACATTTGTATAAAATTTTATATGAAGGTGAATTTTTAAGAACTATAATCAAAAGAAAGCTGTAGATAAATATTAAAGCTATATAGACCCATAACAGTTTTTTTTTATACGGTAGATAGGGCTGTGAACTATACGAAAATTTCAAAAAGTAAAAATCTCAAAAAGTGCCCATAGCAGATTTTGGTTTGACAACGACGATATTTTACATAATATTTTAAATAAATATTATATCAAGCTTGCATTATTTCTTTCTTTTATAAATGAAATAAAATTTATTTAGTTGTAGATATCAACAAACCATTTTCAACATCAAATTCTATGTTTTTTAGCAATAAAAATAGTTCGGGACACCGCGGAGCTCCTTATACATCACGCCAGGAGACAAACTGCTATACAGAAGGCTGAGAAACGGAGAATCAAACAGTTGTTAAGGCATTTCCTACCCGATCTCTTCTCGCATCCACGGCAGCCGCTATCTGATGATGAGAAGGACGAAGGTACTTGTCTTTCTACTAATTTAACATAATGTTGCAGTAATAAGAGAAAGGCAAAGTTATCAATCGTAGAAAAAGAGAAAGGCAAAGTTATCAATCGTAGAAAAACATAGAAAATCATTTCAATCAAACAATTATTTAAGCTAATGTTGTATTATGTTATTACAAAAGGGCTCTATTTGTATCATTCTTACATATGAGTCGACTATTATCAAAGGCGGCAATCTGACTTTTGGACAATGATTGGTAAATCAGAAAAAACGAATTATTGACTTTGTATTCCATTGGCAGTCACAAAACTCTTCGGAACGACATCTTAGATAAATAACAGGTTAACTATTAACCTTTATTTAATGCAGGTTTTGAACCGTATTCTTTGAAGGAGACGATTATATTCAAATAAATCTGTATTGACATATCAATAAAAAAGTTTTGTCCAAATGTACAGATTGCCACCTTTGATAATAGACGACTCATATGTCACATCATGCCCTATGTTCTATTATATCTTAGGTTTTAGGTGTTAAGCAAATAATTGCCCACAACTTTGACTATTGGAGTCATTTGCTATTCACCTCATCGCCAAACACTGCCAACATGAATCCTGCAATAGAGTTTGAAGATGAAGCCAAAAAATATCTCAGTACTGTTAACAATGTCCCAAGATATTCATTCTTGTCCTTGCATGACGTTTCTAATTAATATTCACTTAGACAACCACAATAGCAGATTCTGAAATGTTTAGATTTATTCTTGTCAGTATCAAACACCATTGGTATTGTCCTAGAAGACAAGGAGGATGCACCGAGCCCGGAGTGTCCGATTGATCAACAGGGTCAAGAAAATGACAAGAATAATTTAAAACAAGAAATTAAACAAGAGGTATGTTCTTAAAATCAAGTTTTGATTCTAGATCTGCCTTAGGGATAATTGACACATTGAGTAATTTACGAAAATAACTCTTTATAATTAAACTAGCCGTCCTTGCCCGCTTCGCTGGGCATTTAAAATTAACATTATTATTTATTGTCATTCTTATTAGGGAGTCCAACACTCATATAAATATCAGCCTATCCATTAAGTACATGTATTTTCTACATGGATACCAAGTTTCAAGTCAATTGGATGCACGGTTCAGTAGTTATAACGGAACATCCGTAAAAACCACTAGATTTATATATTAGTATAGATGAAATGATGATAGATCATGCGATGTGCCTTTAACAGAATATTGAATGTTGATACAGCATGCTGCCTTCCTACTGATATCAGTTTGGACCATACTAATATTTAACAATATTGCACAAACAGAAATATAATTAATTAATTTTTTTCAGTCATCTGAATCTGATAACGCGTCAGACAAGAGCGGCAAGAACGGAAAGAATAACAAAGAGAATAAACCCAAAAATAATAATAATTTGGAGAGCAATAAAGGTGAGTTTTACATATCACATGGTAATATATCATTTATTTATTTAGTCTACTTACAATTTAACATATTATATATGAAAAAATCATTATATTGGACTGTTTCTAATTTCAACATAGCAGCATTAATGGATATGTAAAAGCTATAAGAACATAAATGGTTGTCTTTTTATTGTGGCTAATCTCATCTGTTTTGTTTACAGAAAGTGTACTAACCCAGCCGACTAATGGAAAGAGGTTAAGCAATGATGATCAAATACTGAAATCTGACTTAAAGACTGAACCATTCGAAGTAGAAGATGATCTCAGGGATCACCCCCCTAATGTGAGTTTTCGTTTTTTCTTAATTCATTTAGAAGCAGAGGTTGGATCCTATCCATCTGACGAGCAATGCCAAGTCTCTGCCTACCAGAACCATTAAAATTAAATAGTAAATACAATGTCATCTATTGTACACTGATATGGGGTACTTCAGTAGAAACACATCAATGGCCTTGCTGTAATTCGAGATATGCGTAAAATGTATTGTAAGGTATGAACGTGCAAACAACACAAGTGAACAATATATTGTTCTATATAACAATGCATATGTGGGTATATCTCAACCTGTAACATGAGCATGTACATATATCAATCATCGAATGTATTGGAAACGCTTCGAATCGCCAGACCTGGAAGCGCTTTGCCTGGAGCGGTCTTTAGGAGCATGGGCGACCTAACGGGTGCTTCTGCATATTATTATTTTTTTATTGCTTAAATGGGTGGACGAGCTCACAGCTCACCTGATGTTAAATGGTTACTGGAGCCCATAGACATCCACAACGTAAATGCGTTACCCACCCTGAGATATAAGTTCTAAGGTCTCAGTATAGTCACAACGACTGCCCCACCCTTCAAACCGAAACGCATTACTGTTTCACGACAGAAATAGGCGGGGTGGTGGTACCTACCCGTGCGGACTCACAAGAATGTCCGACTGAGAAGAAGAACATCAGTGCCAAAATTTTAACAGTTTATTCACCGACAAAGACTCACGACTTATTAATTTTGTAAATGTATGCATGTTGTATACAGGAGGGCAGGTTCGTGTGCACGTCCTCGTGGTACCTGTTCCTGCGCGTGCACGGCGCGCTGTGCCAGCGGCTGGCGGCCGCGCGCCGGGCCATGTGCGCCGCGCCGCCCGCCCGCCCGCGACACGACCGCCCCCCCGCGCTCGCCCTGCGCCTCGCGCCCGCACACCGTTAGTACACACACACGTTGACTGCTGAATGTTATAGGCTTTATATTAATTTGAATTATTTATTTCTAAAGGATGATCCACAAGGTGGACAGACTTGGTTAAGTTATCTACTAAGTGTTCCCTTACTAAATGTACACCTACCGCCACAAATAGAGAGAGATGGAGAAGTCTCTCAAAAGCCGCAACCAAACATTAAGACATACGTAACCACGACCACTCTGCCAGGAGTGTACGACTGAGAAGAATTTCTAAAGGCACAGACAAGTTCTCTAGTTGTCTGCTATTTAACAATAACAGAAAGCCATAGACAATACGTATAGCGCTGTTTTCCTTGAAATGAGTCTGAAATTACCATTGCATTTAATTTACGATTATTAAAAACTTCAAAAATAGACAACTTAAATATAATATAATGTATATATATATATATAAATGTAAATTTCAATGCACCTACCTTTATTTATTGTGCACTCTGCACTAACTTTGGGTGACCGGTAGAGAATACCATAGGCATTAAGTGCGCCAATGTAAATTTTACGTGAAGTGCTACTATTTGCCAGAATCACATATTCGAAATACATTGTTCTTTTTCTTTGCATTAGTCTGTTACGTCATAATTAACCATTGGACCATTAACGCATCAGATCGAAATCTCAATACACTACACACCATTAGCAATACAATTATTGAATAAATTGAAAAAAATATATTTGAAAATTATGAATGTCTTCCACAGATTTGCCAGCGGACGTGTCGTCGCCAACGGAATATTACAACTTATTGTTGGATTTGGTGAAAGGCGTCCTCGACGGCAACATGGAGTCTTCAGCCTTCGAGGATGCAGCCCGAGAAATGCTCGGGATCAAGGCTTATCCGGCCTACACGCTGGACAAACTGGTGTCTATCGCTGTTAGACAGGTTAGTATCTATGTATTGCTATATCAGACCTGACGGAAATACCCATCAGCACATCAAACATCTTGTTTGAATTACTCTTAGTATTGGATCATTTGGTAACAATAAGAGACAAATGATGAAAACACATGCGATGTGCCTTAAACAGAATATTCTGTGGTGATACAGCATGCTGCCTTCCTACTGATGTCTCTTATTGTTGTCAATATTATCAAACGTATCGACTTTATAATGAGTTAAGAATATTTTTATGAATTAGAAAATCTGCATTCAACTTTAGTGTTACGGGTAGGTACCACCCACCACCCTGCCTATTTCTGTCGTACTTAATGTACACAGACACAGATAAAGTATTTTACCATTTTTTTTATTGCTTAAATGGGTGGACGAGCTCACAGCCCACCTGGTGTTAAGTGGTTACTGGAGCCCATAGACATCAACAAATGTTCACGATTGACTTCCACGGTGAAGGAATAACATCGTGTAATAAAAATCAAACCCGCAAAATTATAATTTGCGTAATTACTGGTGATACGTCTTGTGAGTCCGCGCGGGACGGTACCGCCACCCTGCCTATTTCTGCCGTGAAGCAGTGATGCGTTTCGGTTTGAAGGGTGGGGCAGCCCTTGTAACTATACTGAGACCTTAGAACTTATACTAATACTATACTCGGTGGGTTAAGTCTTACGTGCAGAATGTGTGTAGTATATGAGTCGTCTATTATCAAAGGTGGCAATCTGTGCATTTGAAAAAAAAATTTTTATTGATATGACAATACAGATTGATTTGAATATAATCGTCTCCTTCAAAGAATACAGTTCAAAACCTGCATTAAATAAAGGTTAATAGTTAACCTGTTATTTATCTAAGATGTCGTTCCGAAGAGTTTTGTGACTGCCAATGGAATACAAAGTCAATAATTCGTTTTTCTGATTTACCAATCATTTTCCAAAAGTCAGATTGCCGGCTTTGATAATAGTCGACTCATATATTGTATTGTCGTGTACAGCTGCAGCACTGCGCGTCGGAGCCGTGGTCGGTGCGCGCGGCCGAGCTGTGCGCGCGCGACATGCGGGCCGCGGCCGGGCCCTACGTGCGCCGCGCCCTCGCCGCGCTGCGCCCGCACCACGCCGCCTTCCTCGTGCGAGCGGTCAGTACCAAGACAACGGGACTATAGTAGAATTATTTTGTCCGTACAGTTTGGGTCATAAAAAATCGGAGCGGTGAAGCGAGTATTTCGTTCTCTCTTCCACTCACGAGCCCTATGGACGGGCATAGTGATGCGCGTTATTGTTGTCGATAAGCGTAATCAATAGTGTATTTAGGTTTGTCATTTTGTGGGTTAGTGATAAAAATGAAAGAAAAAAATCACTAATCGAACACTTACACCACATATCGCCGCAGCAAGTTAACGAGGACGGCAGAAATTAACACTTTGTAACTTTTCGGGATCTATTCTTATTTCAGTGAAAAATTTTAACACGTTGTTGATAACAACACGTGCAAATATTATTTTGTATAAATTCTGCCGTTTTGATACAAAACAAAGGAGTAGCCATTGTGTCATTAAAGAAATTCAGAGAACGAATGCATAAAAACACATTTCACGTCTTATTCTTCGACATAATGTACTATAATTTGCAGGTAAGTACAAATGACTCTTAACATAACAATGTCTCACCACCCTTCGTATACCGCCCCGTCGCCGTGTACCTACCTGCCTTCGATGACTTATTTGTTTTTATCGATAATGGCGTTGCGGCCGCGCAACATGCTCACCGCCCTAGCCGGGCTATGTTTTATGACTCAAACTGCACGGACAAAATAATTCTACTATAGTACAGTGAATTTCGGTTATAACGACGGCGGAGGGGGCACTTTAATGTCGTCGTTATATTCGGAGGTTGCTATATCCGAAATAATTAAAAGTCATGTACATATCGACGCTTGAAAGGCAAACGTGACTAAGCGACAATGCGTGAACTTTACAGTAGACTAACTTAAAGTTGAAATACCTGAAAAAAAAATCTATTTTAACGAATCTAACTGTAGGATTGAAATGATTTATTTATTTATTTATTTATTCGTCCGACGGGGGACACGTCAAAGGAAAAACAAAAATGTTATTTTTATTTAATTCCGAGCATTTAAACCTTCTCTGGACTTCCACAAATAATTCAAGACCAAATTTAGCCAAATCGAGTTCGAAATCGATAGTTCTCGAGTTTTAGCGAGACTAACGAACAGCAATTAATTTTTATATATCGATAGTTAAGCTTCAGTGATCGTCCAACTTCAGATAAGTTGGAAGCTTTCAACGGATATCTAAATAGAATACCCCATTTAAAGAAAATGATCAATAATGCAGATTATTTGTCAACAGTACGGTGGAGACGAGTGTAAAGTAACATTTGAGCTGCTAGAAAGCGCTGGAGAAGGAAGGACGTCCCCACACAACAACGACAACAGAATGTCACCGACAGCACAGGTAGGTTTTTATTTTTCAGACTATCTAAAGTAAATCAGAATGTTTAGCTATGTACAGTCGTCGTGGCCTAAAGGATAAGAAGTCCGGTGCATTCGTATGTAGCGATGCTCCGGTGTTCAAATCCCGCAGGCGGGTACCAATTTTTCTAATGAAATACGTACTTAACAAATGTTCACGATTGACTTCCACGGTGAAGGAATAACATCGTGTAATAAAAATCAAACCCGCAAAATTATAATTTGCGTAATCACTGGTGGTAGGACCTCTTGTGAGTCCGCGCGGGTAGGTACCACCGCCCCGCCTATTTCTGCCGTGAAGCAGTAATGCGTTTCGGTTTGAAGGGTGGGGTAGCCGTTGTAACTATACTGAGACCTTAGAACTTATATCTTTTTTTTTTTTTTTATTGCTTAGATGGGTGAACGAGCTCACAGCCCACCTGGTGTTAAGTGGTTACTGGAGCCCATAGACAACTACAACGTAAATGCGCCACCCACCTTGAACTTATATCTCAACCCATCGACCCATCTAAGCAATAAAAAAAAAAGTCCGCGCGCGAGCTCCGAGGAATTTTGAGGAATGTTGATGTAATGAGCTAGTGTTGGAATTAGTCGATATTGCGCTATCGATACTAACACATCTTAAGCCTCCGTGCGAGTGTAAATTATAAAATACTTTTATGAGGGTATTATGTACTTCAAATAAAAAAAAAGAAATTAATCACGTATGAATTTAATTTAATGAACTGATACTTATTGAACAAAATGAACGTGAAATCTTATTAATTACTCTCGCAATCAGATTAATCAGTAGTTGAAGAATTTGATGTTCTATCGTCACTCTCCTCGCGTACTTCAATAATAAATGATTCGACAACATCCTCCATTAAGCCATCCTTCTGCCAGTAATGTTCCTCTAACGCTAAGACATGTTTATTATGCTAGTGCTCGCCATTCCTTTTTCATCAAATCAAATAGCTATTTGTGCAAACAAAAAGACTTATGAGTGTAAGACTATTTATATTAGAAAACACACGTAATTAACACTGTTATCGCAAAATTAAAAACAACGAGTCGGTAAGCGTACTCTCACGTTAAGGTCGACACTAGTACTGGGAGAGTGCGGGGTATGAAGCGACGGTCGGGCGGTAACCACTCACCATCAGGTGGACCGTATGCTCGTCTGCCTACAAGGGCAATAAAAAATAACCTTAGTAAATACTAATTAAATCTACAGCGCACGAGTGGAGGCGTGGGCGGAGTGAAAAGTGTCGGCGAAGGCGAGGCGGTGTCCCGGTGCGCGGCCTGGTCCCTGTACGCCGAGCGGTTCGCCAGCAACAAGACCAGCGGCGTGACGGCGCGCGGCAAGCCCGTGTTCCTGGCGCGCAACGCACGCGCACGCGGCCTGCACGCGCCCGCCAACACGTCGCGCTGGCCGCAGCCGCCGCGCCGCCCCGCCCCGCGCCGCAAGCCCGCCGCGCACGACGCCGCCGAGTGCACGCTCGCCGAGCTGCGCTGCCGGCTCGTGGCCTGCCGCCCCTTCCGCCTGCTGCAGCGCGGAGCCCTGGCCGCCGCGCGCGCCACGCACGAGCGCCTCAGCCGCCGCCGCCGCGACCGCTTCCGGGCCTGGCTGGACGCCAACCGACCGCACCTAGACGAGCGCCTCTCTATCTAACTTCCCTTATAGCGAGAGAGAGGGGTAGATCTCAGGGGTATTTTTATTCAGTGAAACTATGAATATCGACTTTTGTCTTAACACTAATCATACCAACACTCACTGATAACTATTTGTACCATAGCGGATAGATAACGGTATATGTCAATGTATTACTCAAAATTAACAAAACAAAACAACAACAAAAAAATGTATAATAACTGTAGATTAACTGGTAAGCAAAAGTCAGATGTGCAAAAGCAATAAGATGATACGTGCATTTTCAATGCAAAATTTCAACATGGGTCATTTGACCCGTTACGGTATGTTTAGTGTTAAACACAAATAATTTTCGATTTAAAACGATAATTGCATTAGGACGCGGGCGCACGCTACTCACACTCAAAACGAAAGTACCCGGAACATAGATTATACACTTGTCTGTCAAAAGACGGACATAGATAATAAAAACTATGTATCATAGTGAGCAAGCATACGGCCGCGAGAGTGACGTACAGGTCGGTTTGCTATACCGTGCATTTAGCTGCCCCGCGCAGGACTCTAGGAGAAAGGACTCTGCCTAAAACACACAGTTCTACACTTAGTTTTTACGTCACATTAACCCAGTACTATTCGAATAAAATTTAGCAATATATTGTTCTAGTTAAGTAAAAAGTCTATTTCATAGAAATTCAGACAATTGTAAATACCCAAAAATGTTAACTATGTTAACGATGGCTGCCTTGTGTGGTGCAGTCCTTTCTCGACTTCAAATCGAATTTAAATAAACATCTAAATACCACAAAAAAATAAGAATCCTTCCGTCTATTAGAATGTATAAATACATTTCTGATGAGTGTTTCACATAATAAAATTCCGTAACAATGTACTAGTAAAGATCTGAGATTTAAATTAATTAACGAATTATTCCTATATTGAATTAGGTGCAATGCTATTCCATGATTGCAGAGTGTTTTATAGATTATCACATGTTTAGATTCAGCAAGATTAACAACAGAGGATTTGCCCTAAGTCGATCTTAACATCGTGTGGGCTGTAAACGTTATCAATTGTTGATTTCCTTTTTGTTGTTGAGAAATCTGATGTAATAAAAAAGTATTAAAATGTTTTTCGTGGAATTGTCGAGGCAATCTATCTGAATAATAGAACAAACCTATTTTAGTTGAATCAAAGCGAAAAACATTTTGTGTGTGCGTCTGTGTGTCAGCAAACAAAACGCGCCACTATCGGCAGCGGCATTGTGTTGTAAATTTGTACAAATTTTTAAGAACTAATTTAGGTTTGTGTGTATGTATGTATTTATTTGTAACATATGAATGTCACGTCGGTTTTGTCGAATGGCGCGCGCGGCGTGTGTGTGTCCGGTGAGATCTCTTTGTGTATGTGTATAAATGAAAGTACATAATTTGTATATATAGTTACGAGATTTAATTTTAATGTCAGTGATTCGTAGTTTTTAGTCGAAGCGATACTGTTAATTTGTAAAGAGAAAAAAAAACAATGACTCTGTGAAAATAAATATTATTATATTTATAATAGTTTGGGGTTTCTGTTTTGGTTTGCTATTGAAAGTGATGTGAGGTAATTGTAACGGGTGTTTCGGAACTGGCGACTGTCTAAGCTTAGTGAGAGAGCTTTAGCACTGGTGGTAGGACGTCTTGTAAGTCCGCGCGGGTAGGTACCACCGCCCTGCCTGTTTCTGCCGTGAAGCAGTAATGCGTTTCGGTTTGAAGGGCGGGGCAGCCGTTGTAACTATAGAGAGAGACCTTAGAACTTGTATCTCGAGGTGGGTGGCGCATTTACCTGGTAAACGTCTATGGGCTCCAGTAACCACTTAACACCAGGTGGGCTGTGAGCTCGTCCACCCATCTATCCGAGCTGGGTCTCAGTGGTTACTGTAGTCCATAGACATCAAAACGCGACTGCTACCCAACTTGAGTTATAAGGTGGAAATCTTGAATTTTATTTTGTACCCGCTGTTGTAGTCTTAGAAATGACTACCTAATGCCGTCAGAAATTGTGCCAACTTCAAAAATTATCTGATATGTTCGTATTTTCATGGACCATATTCCTGCGGGTATTGAGACCCAGGTAGGCAGATTAAACCCAGTCTCGGCCTAGGTGGTGGTATTCACGACGTGATGTCTATGGTGCTATTTAACATCATATGGGACGAGTTCACCCGTCTTTGTATTTTACAATCTCGTAACGATTATAAAAAAAAGAAAAACCTACCTATACTTATAGCCTTAAGAGGCTATATCAGCTTCTCCTTGACGTGTAGGTGAGCTCACGGGACTCAAACCGGGAGTGTTGCTAACACTGGCCCTAGCAAGAGCAGTGCTTCCCAGAATTTACCGTTGGACCAAAATTATAATTTAACCATATAACTGCTATTTAGATTAGGTCAAACCAGGTGGACTAAGAATTGAAAATTCCAACGGCTCAGGTTTTGCTTCCGGCCGAAGATCGTAGTAAGTGGAAGAGGTTGCTGCAGCGGCTCCGTCGAAGACACGATTCTCATTAGTGAGGGAACGACTTGAGGGTAGTGACGCCATCTATTGGCCGACGTGCGATACTGTAGCGAGGGATCGACTTGATGGTAATAACGCCATCTATTGGCCGACGTACGATACTCATTAGTGAGGGAATGACTAGGAGGGTAGTAACGCCATCTATTGGTCGACATACGATTCTCATTAATGTGGGAATGACATTAGGAGGGTAGTAGCGCCATCTATTGGCCGACGTACGATACTCATTAGTGAGGGAACGACTTGAGGGTAGTAACGCCATCTATTGGCCGACGTACGATACTCATTAGTGAGGGAACGACTTGATGGTAGTAACGCCATCTATTGGCCTATGTGGCAAACTGCGGGCTATAATGTCAGTATGGAGGGTAGAGGCAAGGAGAACCGTCTCATATGGGAGAAACTTGAATAAGTGTCCCACTTTCAGCACTAAATAACAGTTCAAAAATCCTCCAGAATGGCGCTAGCATAGGCACAGGGTATGATATGAATTGAGCAGTTGTTAACTGACTGAAGTATGCTGAGTTAGGAAATTTAACATATTTAATGACTAGAGTAGTTAGTGACAGTGTAATATACAAGACCTCACATGTTTACGTAGTCCAAACTAATTTCGTCAATATAACCTAAAATTATTGCTGTGATAAAACGATTGCATTTTCTTATCAGCGTTAAATAAATTACTTTTTGTGATTTCGTAGTGCTTACAGTTCTTTCGTCCTTTTTTATTTCTCTGTCTTATTCTAATAACATTTAGCGCATTTTTTTAAATTTATCCGGTTGCTACTGTAGCGCCACCCTTATTTAGCAGATTTTAACTCACACTTTTCACACACAGAGACGGTTCTCCTTACATCTACCCTCCATATCCGGTGCGAACGCTTTTCTGGCTTTTTTAAATCTCCGAGAACAATATCCAGGCAAAGGTATCCAGCCCAGAACTCCTAGCCATTAGTAATCATATTGCAAGCAAGAACCATACTGTACTAATGTAAATATATATTAAACCTTTGTCAGTGCGAGAAATTTAAATAAAGTTAGTACCTAAACAATAGTTTAAGTAAACGCCACTTCAGGATACGAAAAAAAAAACAACAAATTTCAGTTAAATTCAATACTTTTATTAAAATACATGAGACGTAATATAAAATAACTATAATAAGTGCATTATTGTCGGTTGTACGTGCGTCTGTTTTATGGCGCCATTTTAATAATTATAATCGGATACATTAGTGACAATAAATTTTTCTACTAAACAAAATCACCACCCACTTTAATACGTGTCCTTCCATAGTGGTGGGGGAATTCAAAAATAGCCCCTTCTTACTCACTGGTATAAAAGGTGTTCTATTAATTTTAGATATTTTTTTATTGCCTACATCGGTGGAAGAGCTCACGGCCTACCTGGTATTAAGTGGTTACCGGAGCCCATAGACAATTACATCGTAAACGCCACCACCCATCTCCAGACATGAATTCTAAGATCTCAATATAGTTACAACGGCTGCTTCAGCCTTCAAACCGAAACGCATTACTGCTTCACGGCAGAAATAGGTGAGGTGGTGGTACCTACCCGTGCGGACTTACAAGACGTCCTACCACCAGTATAAAAGAGAATTAGATCAATATTTTATCGATGAGGACTCTTTGTGATCCTCTTTTGTGGTGGCAGTGGTAAGGAAACGCTGCTGTGAGGACTCCACTCCGGAGTTGGACGGTACTTACATAACGAGAGATGAAAGATTATTTGGTTTAAGCCATTTTTGTAATTAAAGGTCCGTTTTATTTGGTGTAGCCGTACTCGCCCGCTTCGCTGGGCATTTAAAATTAATATTATTATTTATTTATCATTATTATTAGGGAGTCCAACACTTATATAAATATTAGCCTATCCATTAAGTTCATGTATTTTCTACGTGGATACCGAGTTTCAAGTCAATCGGATGCACGGTTCAGTAGTTATAACGGAACATCCGTAAAAACCACTGTAGATTTATATATTAGTATAGATATAGATTAGCATCAACAGTTTGATGTTTTTAAATGACAGTTTACGCCATTCAAATATCTGAAGAAGTTTTTTTTGTTATGATATTTTTTCAAAATTTTTCAATATAAATGACTCTCCTGTGAGGTTGTAAATATGTCACTCAAACCAAATTGCTTTTCAATTCTCGATATATAATAGCGTTATGTACCCAAACAAACGCACGTTTTCTAGTTTCATAATCACTAATAACTAAAACAAGGTTATATATAAGGCCGTCAGCGCAAAAGAGGCCTAACCCACATTTTTTTATAATCATGCTTATAATCATGTACATTACAATTTATTTTGAAATATAATAAGTTTTGATGCAAAATCTATCCATAGTTTCACCCTTAGATAACAGATGGCATTGTAAACATTATTTTTGCGCGTATTTTTTTTTTGCCTACACAAATTCAAATTCATGAAAACTTAAGGCTTCGTCAAACAGAACGCGTACTTAGCGCTGCGTTTTAACGTCGCGCTCTTTTCATGTCACACAAATTGATTAGATGAGTCTAACGCTCCTTGACGCAACGCATTCGCCAAATCATAGTGCCTTTCGATAGCAGTGTGAAAATTTAAAAGTATTAAGAAATCGAGTGATTTAGATGTGGCATTGTATAGGCATGGATATTTTCTAACTATTTTTATCAATTTTTCGAGCATTATCTAGTATTTTAATATACATTCACTCGGAAAAAATAAAATTTGTAAAAAAATACAACGGCTGACGTCAAAGCGTCCTAATGTCGCGACAGAGCGTTGCGTACTTATAGCGCGGGCGCTCTGTTTGAGAGTATATTACCATAGTAGTACAACACATCTCGGCGTCATAGCGCGCCGTCAGTTTAGCGATCTGACGCGCGCTAATTACGCGTTCTGTTTGACGAACTTTAAGCCTCATTGCTCCATAATAACTATGGTATGCTTAGGCCACTTTTGCGCTGATGACGGCTTCATATTATGTATGAATCACGCGACGACCCTGTAACGTTCCAGTTAAAGCAGTATTATCATTCGTCTCTATATAGCGCTGTCATGGACACTGACAGTGACAAGGTGCTATCCCCAGAAAGTCCTTCGACGAGACGTAAGGGAATGTCGTTGAAAGAAATCCAGTTTAGACAATCCCAATAGTGGCGAATATGTATATAAAACTTTAATCGTAAACATGACCAAGCCCATTATAATATACAGGTATATTATATACATTATATATACATATATCGATGGATGAAAGGCCGTTTGGTTCAAGCGACATTGTTACAACTTTACAAAAGAGCCATTAGAAGTTTAAAATTTGGAAAAAATATCATAACAAAAAAAAAATCTATAGCTATTTGAACGGAGTAAGCTTAATTGAAGTTCAATTAAAAATGTCGAACTGTTGATGCTGATACCAAATAAAATGCACCTTTATTTACAAAGATAAATGTCGGTTGAACCAAATAGCCTTTCAACCTTCGATATATATATACATATATATTTATATGTCGGTGTGTGTATGTCCTCAGTAGACTTTGAAACAGCTGATCAAATTTCGATGAAATTTTCGTATTGGCCCAGCGAAGTCTAGCTTCGATTGGATCAGTCAAGTCCAAGATGGATCAGTCACTCGCGCCATGTTTGACGTGTTGTATAACATCAATTAAATTCCAAATTACGTCAATATCTCGATTATTGTACAAATTTTATATAATTATCACAATTTATAACACATTTAAATCGGTAAGTACTACTTAATATTAAAAAAAATATATAAATAACTAACAATTTTTTTTTAAAGAATTTAATGACCTGGTAACTAAGACCTTTAAGTCATGTCTAATTTTAATTTATATTCTTCTTTTTTATGAAAAATGATAATTTGGAGTGAAAAGAAATTAAATGAAATGAGATGAGATGATATGGAATGAAATATAATCTCAGTAAAATGGCGGTCATTTACTGAAATTTTTTCAGTGGACTTTTT